CAACGACAAGGGCGACCTGGTGTACCAATGCTCCCCGGAGGCACGGCAGGCCGAGGCGGCCGCTTCCATCGCCCGCCTGGCCGCCGCTTACCAGCATGACTGGGAGGGAGCAGTGTCCCACCTCAACACGCTGCTGATCGCCCGGGGCAGCCCCGGCTATGCCGGGCCCAAGTTCAGCGAGCCGCCCTCGCCCAGCGTGCTCCCCAAGCCGCCGAGCCACTGGGTGGCCTTCCCAATGAGTGCCGGCGAGAGCAGGGAGATGATGACCTTCCAGCTCAAGAGCCTCTTAAAGGTGCCGGCCTGACGGGGCAAATGGCTGTAGTACACTTTTTAAAGAGCTTTTTTTTTTTTTTACAAAAAAAAAAACAACCAAATCACATATTACAACTCTCTTGCCTTGCTGGCGACGACTAAGTGGACCCCCCCCCCTTTTTTTTTTGCGGTTTTTGTTCTTTTTATTTTGGCTATCAAAGCAGATTGTGTGCACTTATTTTTCCATGTTAATTCCTGTCCACCTCTGTGGACATATACAGCCATTTTTCATTTTGATACTCAATAACGAGTTGCCGGCACGCGGTCCAATCTCCCTTTTTTTATGTAGCACATTTCAGAACGAGAGCCGCTCCAGTGTTCTCGCTTTCAAACAGTGGGACACTCGACTGCGATTCTGCTGGAAATCATGTGTACATTGTTGTTAATGCCGTTTGATGGAAAGTTGATATCGTGGCACGCAGGCCTTAGGCAGTCGACTCCTGTGTATCCTTCCTTATTTTAATTTTTTTTAAATCGCGCTGTGCGCACATGCACTACAGAAGGCGGCTGCTGTAAGGCCTGGCTGGCACTCATGTTCACGCTGCCTCTCAAAGACAAAGTTTTTCCTCTGTTGCTCTTGTTGGTGTCCTCCTTTTTTGGAGGGGGCATCCCAAAGGGGGCGGCGCCCACTTGAATCAAATGTTAGACGGGACAGACGTTCAGTTAGTGTGACAGTGTCAATGTCCCTCGTGAAGGGCAAAATGGCGGACAAATCGCGGCGTTTGCATTTGTCGGGTGTCCAACTGGTTTTGTTGTGCTTTGGCTGTGCCGTGCGTCAACCAAAGCTGTTACCCCTTCCCCACCCCGATGTTCCCCCGACTCGGTCTCATCTTGCAAGGCCCACTTGTGCCGCTAAGGCACGCGGAAGAGGACCCATTTATTGGGTCCTGTCTGCGGCACCGTTTGGCATTGGAAGAGAGAAGACCGCGGCGCCATTTCGTGACGTTACGTGAGCGGTGTGCGTTGTTTACGTTCCATCATGAGTTAATGAGCCCATTTTGCACTGCACTTGCTCCAGATATGTCATCGTTACAGGCTGCGTGCGATGTTGTTGAATCAGACGCGCAATTGACTATCTTGTTTTTCTTTCTCTTCGTGAGCTGTTTTTTTTTTTTTTTTTTTTTTGATTTGTTGTTGCTTTCCCCCGTGCAGAACTGAATCTGCTTCATAGCCAGACTAGAGACGACAAAACCTCATTTGTTGATCATGTCTTTCAGGAGCCATGTAAATACGACTCATGACAACATGTATAAAATTCTTGTAGCATATTATACAGTTGCAAGCCAAGGGTTTGGAGGAGGCTTGCGGATGAAAAGTATTTTTAGTACTCATGATAACACTGAATGTACGAGGCGCATATGCCGTCTCAACTTTGCCGATGCTGAAGAATATTTTTGTTAAGAAAAAAAGAAAACCATGCATTTACCAGTACGAGGGAGCCCTGCACTGAAGTCTTTCCAGAGATCTTGCACACGTTTTGTTTAAAAAATTTTGTACGATGCAGTGTAGGGTGAAAGAGAAGAGTTGATCATTGGAACTGGGGAGATTTGCTCATGCATGACATTCACCTGGATCAATTTGGAACTGTGTTCAAGCCCCTTTCGAAAAACAATTTGAATCTTGTCCTATTTTTTTTTCAGAAGCAACCACAACTCTCAGCTGTTCTTCCGCCAACTGATTTTTTTTTTAACAATCGATTACTATGGTTATCCAGTTAAGTCACGCGTTGCAGTCTCCCCATGCTAAATTAGAAGTCGTCTTGTCATTAATTGGATTTGAATTTGTCCCAAGCGATTATGTCATTGTATGTGGAAAGACGAAAATGCCGTTTAAAATTGGTAACAATTGGCTTGAAGAATCCGAGAAAAAAAAAACCCTCTTGATTTGATGAGTTAAATTTGACAAATAAAAATAAAGTCCCCTCCCCTTCCCCCCCAAACCATTTGACTGCCTTGATTTCATTGTATGTCTGTTGTCTCAGCGGGAGAGAGGCCAACTCTTTTCTTGAACAACCACAGGTAAGTCCAGCCACTGTACAAACAAGTGGCCCTCAGCTCACGTTTGTCACAAGCCACTTTGGAGTTGGGTCTTTCCTCGGAGGACCGTTACCACAGTTAAACGAATAAGCGTTTTGATCGTCACATCGTATTATTACTTGGACACTTAAAAAAAATGGATTCCTACTATTGGAATCAGTCAACTGTAATAGTTCGAGTGAGTGTAAACAGCGTAACAAAATTATTGCAAAATCTCAACGTTATTTATTACACATGACAATATGACATTTCGGTGCAGATTTTAGAAAGGATCACGCAAGTTCACACACGGGATTTGCTTTCGCGGGCCACAGAAAACATTGTGGCGGGCTGGATACGGCCTTGAGTTTGACGCCTGCGCTCGAAGCAGTTGCCTCAATGTTGTCGTGAGGAACAATGCAGGAGAACCCAAAAATGATGTTACTTCTTTTCAAGTCTAAAAAAATGTGAGCATGTTATGCGGCTCAAACTTGCCTTTCCTGGCAAATTTTAAGTCACATTTATGTGACGTTCAAGAAGGAACGTCCTGGTCCCAATACTCGACAGGAAGAGATCAGGTGATACTGCCGCCCTGGTGGTGTTTTAACGGTACTGCTGGGATTGAGCATCGTGCACTCTTGTTGTATTGAGCAACCAGACGCTTTGCTATGTTGACTTAACTGCTATCAACTAATAGAACTGCCAGTGATGGCCAACAAAACAACGGGCAAAACGGCCCTGGTGAGATTTGCCGAAATCGAAATGACTTTGGGGTCTTTTGCCCACAAAATGATTTGGACATGGAAAAGTCCAGTGTCGGTCCTGGGTCAGCCTATGGATCCAACGCATGGTGTTCTGGTAATCTACTTGGAAAAGTGTAAGACCTCATCAAAACATACGCCACTCGACAAAAAATGCAGATGAACAAAATGTGTTCCTAAAGAGGGTAAAGTAGTGTTCAAGTGAACCGCTGCTCAGCGCCCCCCGGACTTGTACTCTGCCCAGGAGCGGGAACGTGATCGCGAGCGGGACATGGAGCGGGACAGGGAGCGCGACGGGGAGCGGCCAAATGAGCGCTTGTGAGAACCGGGAGCCAGGTGGAATTCCTCTTCCTGGGCGGCGGGGCTGTGCGTCCGAGATCGGCTCTTTCGGCCCTTGGGCCTGGAGCGGGAGGGCGAGCGAGACGCCGAGCGGTTCCTGGAGCCGGCCTCGCGCTGGGTCTTGTGGCGCTCGTGCTGGCCGCTTCTGCGCCTGATTAAAAAGACACAGGACTCTCGCATTGGGACTGCTCAGCATAGCCCACTTGATGGCTTCGGCCTCATTTTGAGCCAGCCCAGCTTTTAAAACCTCATGCTCCTGACCTCTCAAACCTAATCGTATCACTTTGAATCGTTTATCTTTCAAATGTGCTTGTGTCGCGCCCACCATATATGGAGATCCAATTGTCTTTCTTTTTTTTTTTGAGGGACGCACCTTCAAGTTCAAACTTCCCTCGAGCAATTGTGCCATGCTAAAACTGATAACCTTTACTGTTAAACACACTGGGTGGGTGTGATGTCATGATTAACAGGGTTTCTATATTTTGATTTGAGCACAATAGGTAAATTCAGATCGAGACCACATTAAAGAACAATGTCATGTTTCCAGCAAGGAACTCCTGATGCACAAACGCAATCGATGCGTTGTTTCGTCCGATCAAAGAACGTACCCATCATTTTCGCGGCTTCTGCTGCGTCTGTGTCGGCCGTAGGAGCGCGAGCTGGAGCAGGAAAGGAGAAACAACCGTCATTGGGGGCGAAATGAAGAGCAACCGGTTTGAATGTGTGTCATCCACTCCAGCAGAAGAGCGTGAAGGACCTACTCTCTGGGGCTGTACGACCTCCGCGGCCGCCGGTCGTACGAGGGGCTGCGCGAACGGCGGCGCTCATAGCTACGACTGCGGGATCGGCGGCGGCGGTCTTCGTCGTCGTAGCGCGAGAAACTGCGGGGGGAATGGCGCTCCTTGGACTTCATCTGGTTGGGAGCTTTCGAGGGACAACGGAACAGGATTAACAACATTGAAGTGGCACAACGGAGCCCGTCAAGTACAGCGCGGACTCCAACTTGATGGCGAGCTAGCAAAAGTGCAGCGGTTCAATGCGCCCGAGACCCTCGTGATGGTAAAGGGGTTCAGATCACGGATGGATGGATTTACACGACTGCCAAAATCCAACGTAAAAGCAACACGCATGCTACTCTGAAGCCCGCTGAACTATCCTCCAAACTTTTCTGTCAATTTAGTAGAGGCACATTCTAACAAAACCCTGACTTTTATGGGACTTCAGAAGTTCCTCTGAATATTTTTATCTTTACATGTATATCAAAAAAACCCAAAAGGGTTCTTACTCTTGCGGTCACCCTGGGCAAACTGGATCTCAATCTGGCGCCCGCACACCCACTTGTGGTCCAGGTTGTGGAGGGCGTCTTCGGCATCTCGAACATCTTCAAACGTGCCAAGGCGGTTAAGGTTTTGATTTTCGGACACAAGACAGCAGACGCACGCACAGACTAGCCGACAAATGGACTAGTCTTTCCAAGCACGCAGACCCGCACCAAGTTTTCATTTGTACACATTCACTTGGAAATCAGTGCTGGCACACCATGAATATAATCGAGCACAACGCAAGACCTTGAAGAGTCTCGCGATTGACGACTGTGTGGACAAGACAGATAAATAAATAGTGATCAGATTTGAAGAGGATACATAAAGAGAAAAAGAAAAAAAAAATCTTGTCTTCTTTACCTTTTAACTTTGAACTTGAGCTTGCTCTTTATTGCCTTGGCAGGAGTAGCGCTTGTCTTTGCCCAATAAACACTTCGCCCGCTTTTCCTCGCTTTGGCCCATAAAATGGAGGCGCTCCCTTTGGCAGACAAAATGGCCGCTCTCTCTCTCTTGCACGCGCCCCTCTTTGCATCTTGATGCTTTTGCTGTGTGAGGTTTTTTTTTTTTTTTTTTTTAAAGCGCTTGATCTTTGGCTTTGGCTACTCTACCTGGTAACTTTTCTGTGTGTAGCGGTAGTGGGGGAGGGCGGGCTCTCCAGAACTGTATCTTTACCATTCTGAGGTAACAACAGAAGAGATAGCAGTTACAAATGGGACACATAAAGGAGGAGAAAAAGAAAGGATATTGAATGTAAGCAAATCCTCTTGGCCGCCGCGTATAGAAGTCAAGTGGAATGTAGACGTCTACAATAGGCCCGTAACGACCAAACTCACGTCGCAAATCTTCTGGCCTAAAGTGTCGTGAAATAATGAAATGAACACATTTTTATCTTTTATCTTTTCTTTTTTTTTTAACATGAGTCCAACCGAGATAGCGCCCACTGTGTGAACGAGCACAAGCGGTCTGACTGTACACAGTGGAAGTTATTTTGGTTCATTGTTCGGATAAAAACTTCAAATTAAGAAAAACATGAAATACGAAACAAAAAATCTCACATGTATACAGTGTAAAAACAAATAGGCAGCCAGTATGGAGGTTATTATAATAACCCATCTATCTTGAACATTTTGATTACATATCATCACCTAATAATGAAACGTGCAACTATTACATAGCTTTTGGTCTAGTTAGACAAAAATAAAAAAGCAAAAGATGTACACAATATTTAGGGAATCAACCGCTTAAGTGTTAACGTAGAAATAAGCATGCATTTTGTGCAGATTACAATCAATAATATGAAACATGATTTAGTACATTATGGAGGTTATTTGAGTGGCTTTAAAGTAGCTTTCCACTTTTATAGTATGTACATAATTACGCAGTTAAGTTCTAAATTTGTTTAAATGGCTTACATTTGTAGTTTTGAAAATCGTAATAAATAAACATATGTGTTCAATCAATAAACGTCTAAAAAACTACCGGTACACAAACGCTGAGGGTGACATTCCAGTTTAATCAAAATGGCGGCGACTGAGTTTGAAAGAATACGTCACACGGCACCCGGATGCTCAACTTCCCCAACATCTCCATCGGCCACCGTTAGTATTTTTTGCCTGGTGACGGCGTTCAATTTTTTTTTTTTTTTTGCTTGCTTTTGGGTGTTATTGGCAGTTTTCTAGTGTAACGTTACCTATTTTAAATGTTTCAGCTCCACTGCAAAGCTAGAATAGCAAATCGTTGTTCGTGTTACGGACGTTACTAAATTTCCTTCTAAATAGAACAATGGCGTATCTTTTCTCTCCTCGAACCACCAATTCGTCAGCAAAGCAGCCGACATTTGTTCGGAACGACAAGCACATTACTAGGCTCAGGCTGTCAACGTTCAGCAACGACGTCGGTGAGCCTTTTTTTTTTTTTTTTTGGAGAGGTTGGGCTGTAGGTAACTAGCATAGGGTTAGCTGTGCGGACTTACCTGGACTCCTCTGAGATATTCCGGACAAAGAGAGAGGAGTTTGGGGGTCGCAGATACCTCGCCATTTGTGACGGCGAGTTGCTAACTAGCCGCAGGGGTATGTATGTTTGTTTTAAACAGTCCCCGTTCAGGCGAAGCCCGACCGTCGGCTCTAATAATAAAGGCTCGGAAGGTATGGTGTGACCACAATGCGCATGCCCGTCCTCTTCGGCGCAGTTTGTGCGCATGTTCAGTGCGAAATCTCCGCGGTCAAGTGTGATGCGTTCAGGGTTCGTAAATTTAAAAAACCGAAGATGAAATCAATGAAGGACCCTGTGTTCGTTTTAAATAGACATTTATTTCAAAATTCGCCTTCCAATTTTTCACATTTTCTTGCTCTTCCTGACGAGAGTTACGGAGCCCATGTTCAAGGTCTGAAACGAGAGAAAATAGAAAAATATAACGATGGAGATTTACAACACGACACATCTAACTACGTGTTGCGAGTGATGAGTTCAGGATACTTCGATCATTTCGCCTCCTTTGATCTCTTGGATGTGGCAGAACTTGCCGGTGTTGCAGACCAGCTTGCCGCCCTCCAAGTTGACAACGCACTGGGGGCGTCACATAAAGGAGTATATACTGCATGTCAGATATAGATACCATCTGTTGTTTTTAGTTACAAAATATGCGGAAACTACTCCATATGTAAAATACAGTTGCACACCACTGAAAAATACATGACTAGGTTAAGTTTTGTACTTGTTCCTACTTCCTTTGAACATGTAAACCGAGATGAACTGACACCTATTGATCATTTTTCTTTCTTCCAATTCATCTGTTCAAGAAAGTAATCCATACAAATGAAAATAGGATGGTGACATCTATAAATGAGCACATTTCCAGTTGATTTGCTTACAAAATGCCCCCTAACGCTTCCCCAAATACGTTCCATGCCTTTGCAGTACTGCAGACGGAATCCAGCTATGGTTCATTGCATAAACAACCGCCCCCCCCCCCAAAAAAAAATCTATAATTCTGTAAAACACATGGCTTTTTGTCAGAAGCGCTTCACCTTGAGCTTCTTGCCGTCCATGGTGGTGATGTCAGCCTCCTTGCCGATAGTAAAGGAATTGGTCACGGTCTTCCCGGGGGTCTTGGAGGTCACCACGAAGTCGCTGCCCTTCTGCGTGATCTCCGTCACCGGCTTGATGTCCTTGGCCATCTTGATGACATCATCGGGGAGTTCTGGTGAGCAAAAGAGCAGCAGCAACAAGCAGCCCACGTCTTATTCATTGTTGTATCAAGACAGGACCGCCCCACCGCCCCAAGTTCTTTTGGCTCACCCATGGCCTTGAGAAAGGCCTCGTAGTTCTCCTGGGCGTAAACCTGCCACGTGCCGTTGAAGTCCATGTTGACCAAAAGGAGGCTGAGACGGGCTTTGAGGTGGGTTGTGAAGCTCAACCGTGTGGGGGAGAGTCTGCTCCAGCATGCTCGCTTTTATACTCCCCTGGCGTGGCGTTTAATTAGTAACCGCATCGGACGTTAGTTGAACAACCCCGAGTTCACTTGCTACTTTTGGGATCAAGAGGTTCTGATTCATGAAGCACGAAGCAGTGAGAAGTAACCACGTACAAATACTTGGTTACTGTTCTCGGAGAGATATGTCAGGTGTCTGTATTTTTCTGATGTCTTTTTAGTTTTGCTCCCCGCATCTGAAAACCAAGTGATGTGTTTTCTACTCGTTCAGTCGGCAAATGTGGATCATTGCTTTAAAAAAAAAAGTGCAGCTTTTTCTTTCTTCCCCAAGTTACCAAAACGAGTATGAGCACATATAATTGACAGTAAAAATGCCATTTTTGTCATGCACTTTTGGACTCAAGTACATTTCTGTCTGTACTTCTCTGCTGTTGAGCACAAGAGTTGAATCTGTACATCGACTTAAGAACAGAAGGTGCGTACATTTGATGATATGAAACTTTGATTTAATGAGAAGCACAAGGCACACACAACAGGCAATGCACCCTCGTCCACACGCAAAAGCATTTTCTTTCCGAACCAATCCGTACGTATGCCATCTGTCTGGACATCGCTTTGCACAAAGAAAGAAACACTTCCCGTTTACCATAAACACGATCTCAGCTCATCGACACTTTTGTTCCACTGCGCTAACGAAAACCTGAGCACCTACTGAGGCCCGTGAACAGTCTCGTATAGATGACGATCTGTGCGGCGGCCATGGTTTTCCCAGCTATGTGCATTCCAGGAGACTGCACCGTGCGGTTGCGCTCCAACTTGGTGTCATCCACCTCTATGACCTTTTTGTTCCGGTTAGCCATTTTCATGTCATATTCTTTAATATTACTGGAATCGAAGCAAAACCGCTTTGAATAAGCAAACGATAAGTGTCACCATCAATTCTATCAGTTGATGGATGTTCTCGACATGTGCGGGACTTCCAACTGCTGAGCCCATGTGCTCATGCTCACAAAAACAGCAGAACCTACCAAGACACATCATGTGGAGACTGGCAAGCAGCCGAGGGCAAACAACGCCTCTTGGCCAAAAGTGAGCTGAAATAGGCTCCAGTCAGTAAGATTTGATGCAAGCCAAACGAAGTTCTGAAAAGAAAAAAAAAAACACAGATGGATGCATTGGTGAATGATTTTAAAAAATGCATCCTAGCACTCAGCAGGCCTCTCCCACTTCTGCAGTTGAGTAAATAAAGGCCGCTCGTTGCGGAAACGCACGATTTGGGCTTGGCCTCGGTCACGTCTGCAACCTTTCCTCTCTTTGCGGTGCTGTTGAACCTCCTCACGTGACTCCGGAGGCCCACCGGTGAGGTGAACGACCCCGTGGACTGTTTGTGTTTGCACTTTGAGAGTACAAACTGGCTCCTTTGGCTTGTGCATTTTGTTCCCTCCCTGTACCCAATGCGGACCGAAACCGTGGCCTTAAAACGACGGGACATACCGAACTAGGATTTTAGGTGGACCGCCCATCAATCATCAGCCTCCGTGAACCAGGAAGTAGCTTAAGCGCGCAATGCTCTCGTATCACTTGCATGGGAATCTTTCCGTTGGGGAAAAAAAACAAAAACAAAACAAGACTAATCCATCATGGCACACCACGTGCACTTGGGGGCTATACTGCACCAAACATAATGGAGCCCGGGGGCGGCAAGCAAAGGCGTTGCCCATGGGGAGCGGCGCAGGCCGCCTTTACAAACCCATCTCCACGGCGTCGGCCGGCGGCGCCTCGCCGCGCTTGTACACGCTCACCGTCACCTCCACCGACTCGGAGCCGCAGCGGTTGCGCACCAGCACGGTATATTTGCCCGAGTTTTCGGTGCGCACGTCGTTGATGGTGATGGTGCTGCAGCCGCGCTCCCTGGTGATGAAGAACTGGTCTTCGCCGGCGATCTCGCGCTCGTTACGCAGCCAGAAGACGTCCGGGGTGGGGTCGCCCTCGATGAAGCACGTCAGGCACAGAGACTGCCGGCGGGAGAACGTTGTGGAATTTGGAAAGGGACAAAATCGCCCAACTGCTGTGGGAAGGCGAGTTGCTACCTTGCCCTCCATGATGGCCACCACATCCGGCAGACCTTTTGTCACTTTGGCCCGATCTGAAACAAACTCATAACTGAATAAGGTTCATTCTTTTTCTGGCTTTGAATTGATTCACAGAGAGGTTTTTTTGTAGATTACTATTTACCTGACATGTTTCCGCTAAAACATGTCAGGTAAACAACCACGTCAGTGATGCAAGAACCGAGCAGTTGAAACAAACTCAGTCAGCCGCCCTTGTCGTTTCTTGTAAGTTTTGTCACTCACTTTTCTCAATGACGGCCTCTTGCCTGGACAGAAGAAAACGACGCGGCATCAGCGAGCAATCATGCGGAGGGCGTTGAAACTAAAGAAGAGACAGCTTACTTCAGCCTCTGCTGCTCCAGCAAGGCATCTGCAAAAGCTGCAAATGAAACATGGAATCTCTTTACAACGAGGCCATCTCAAAGGCGCTGCGGATTTGTGGCATGCCCCCCACCTTGTCCGGACAGGTCCAAGTGACGGCAATGCGTCTCGCCGCCGTCAAACATCTCCAGGGTGTATTTGCCTTTGTCGTTCTCCGTAGGGTTGAAGATGTCCATCCAAACCATGCGCTCGTTGTTGCCCATCCTGATCCTGGACTGGGGTTCCATCCGTTTCCCCCTGCGAGACAAGCAAACATCCGCACGGCCATTGTCGACGTCGCCTGCTCATGACGGGGCCGCGTGGGGGCTTTTTGCCCAAAGGAGGGCACACCCCAGACCGGTCGCCATATCAAGCGAGTCCCCTCGTCCGGCGGGCTGCTTTTTGTGGCAGAGGGCACCGTGTGTTCAATGTCTTGCCAGCAGGTGGTGCTGCAGGCTCAGTTTCAAACTTGACGATGACGTTCCCACCCACATTTCTCTTTGTCCGAGGCACCGCGATGCTGAAAAGATTTTTGTTTGGGCTCTCTGGTTCAGCCAAAACACCGAGGTCATCGAAATGGCTCTTTTCCTTCAAAGCAAAATCGGAGGTTGCTGAATGCAAACACGAATAATGACGGGATACGCTTATGGAATAAAAGTGAAAAAAAAAATGGATTCAAGATTAAGTTTGTTGGCAGCGCCCTTCTCTTTTGAGACTGTCATTTGGCTGCAGTTGACACAAATCACTGCCAGTGTCCATGTACGAGGAATTTGGGTGAGAGGTCGGGGTACGCTCCAGTTCAGGCTCCCCTTGCCGCCTTTGGACAGTTTAGTCGTCCAAGAATCGAACGGGCGCGTCTGAACAAAGTCCTGCATGAAGCTGATGCGTGAGGCGGGCAACTGCTCGGCCTTACTTGAAGTCCCAGCTGGTCTTCAGGGCGCTGATGTAATACGTGAGGCAGCAGTAGAGCCTGAAACCTTCTGCCGTGCTCTGAACCCTCAGCGGACCCGCTGACAATCCTGCAGAGACGGACGGACGGAGGCAGAGCGGGACGGAGGGATCGAGAGAGATGTCGTTGTCACGTCAACACTTGCGGGGTCGGGCCTCCGGTGTGCGACTCGCTCACCGCATTGTTTGCTCAGCTGCTGGAGAAGCTTGTCGTACTCTGTGAAGAAACGCCACGTCTCACTCATCGGCGCTGTGTGACATTTACGGCCAAAAGCGCCAATCGTGAGCCTGCTGGCCCATCGACGCGCATGCCCGCTGCTCATTCTTCACGAGCGCCATTTTTAACCTCAGAATTCTTTTTATTTCTATGCCGGTCGGTCAGACTATGCAGAGTGTGCAAAAATGCACGCTTGTCGACCGCCTCGCCGTGTCGGAAAAAAAAAAAAAAAAACGACTTGACTTTCATCACCTTCATGCTGCAACGCCAAGGTGCTGACGTCCTCTCCTCTGGCATCCGACACCACCGCTTTGTATGAGCCCGCCTGCTGTTTTTCAATCTGAGGGGACACAGACGCATCTCCGGTAATTAGCCGTTCACGAGGGACACACGTATCGATGAGCGTTGGATGACCTGCGGGATGGTGAGCGCGCCGACCCCAGACGGGGGGTCGTAATCAGCCTGCGGCAGCGCCACTCCGTCCTTGGACCACTTGAGGGTTGTGTCTTTGCTTGCGTTGGTCACCTGCGGAAGTCACGACGTGTCATACAGTCGTACGCAGCGGATGCAAAGGATTTTTGGAGAGTTAAAATCAAACACACACAAATTTGTTTCATACTCATTTTTGCCATTATAAAACACAATTCTTCTCGATTTTGCAACGTGTCAACTTGATCTGACACGGGTGTATTTACAATCACGTGTAGGGATTTAAAATGCAAAAATAGAGAATAAACACAAAACAAAGAGCACAACACAGAATCTATTTTTTTGCCCCTTTCTTAAGTTTGAAAATATTTATTTTTAGATTTTGGTGGGCAACATTTTTTCCTTTCAGTTTTCATGAAGTCCTCCGAAGACCCCGCTCGATTTATGACGAACATAATTGAAGACTCCAGCATATTGTTTGGGATGATGAGCCTTTGATGGCAAACCCACAAGTACAAATTTGACAAATGAGTCCTTTGGGTTGCCGCCGGGCGAATCTATTTGATGAGAGCGCCTCTTTTATCGCTTGCGCGAATGACCGTCGGACAACAGCAGGCGAAAACAGCGGCGTTGCGGTCATTGGCGCAATTGAGTACCTTGCACTTTATGGTCACTTGGCAATCCTCGTTAACGTCCCACGACAAGAGCTCCTCGAAGTACGGTCCTACGGCAAGACGGGGAGAAGCAAACCATGACGCCGCCTAAAGGTCACCGGCGCCGCCCATCGGTTCTCAGAATGAGGCGGCGGCGACGTGTTTGCAGAGAGGCACGCGCGGACATCTCACCGCTCTTTCTCTCGCAGTCGCGTCGCTTAGCGTTGGCCAGGGCGAGCAGCTCGCGGAATTCTGCGTGGGGGTAAAAGACGCAGAGGGCGTTAGGCGAGCCCAGGCAGTCCAACTCGCTTGGCTCAAAGAGGAGAGGAACTCGTCAACGTGGGGAAGACCTTTCATTTCGGGGCCGTTACGACCATATGAAGACGTCAAAAGAACATCATGGAAGCTGACATGCTCCATTTGCTTTCGAGGGCCACATGAAATGAGGTGGCGGGACAGATCTGGCCCCCGGGCCCCGAGTTGGGACACCTGTGGCTCAGCTCGTTCCTCAGGTGAGCAGTTTGGGCTTTTTGCTTTGTTCGTGTTTATTCGACAGTCGCCCTTTTGGAGATATGTGATGTTTCTTGGGGTCGGGTTTTGACTTATCATCAGACATACGAACGATATTTTTGGATTACCATGACGAAAAAGCGTGGGGGCGGGAAAAAAAGAAAATAACGCATTTGCTTACACGTAACACATTGGTCATGCATTTATGGAGACATTTTTGACTACAATCGAAATGTGAATCTTTTTTTTTTTTCAATATATTGTAAGAACAACGCAAAAAGGCCTTTGTTTATAGCTGTCATCATTTGTACACAATGGAATCATGTAACACTTTGAAATTGTTGTTTTTTTTAATCGAACTTCTAAAATGCAGACTTGATTTGATTTGAAGAAATATGCTGTCCTGGCAACAGGGCAGCGCCAAAGTGGCTCACATCTCCGGATTCAAATGGCGCTTTGGGCGTCAGGAGGACTGATGCGTGATCGTAAGCGCTTGAATCCGTGATCGTAAGCGCTTGAATCCGTGGACTCGATCTGGGCGGTGACTCACCGTGATCCACCAAGACCAAGGTGAACTGGTTCCTGGCACGTCCATCGCGCAGCTGGGCCGTGTACGTGCCTTCGTCCTCGTGGGTCATGCGATCTATCAGCACCTCCACGAGACCGCCGGCCTTGTCAAAGTTGATCCTGCGACCCTGCGGCGGCGCGGGCGAGACGAGACCCGGTGGGAATGTGAAAGCCACTCACCCGCGCGCATTCGGACATATTTGGCAACTCACGCGGGACACAAATGGCAAAAACATCATTTGGGCTTTTATGTTCCTGACGTGGAGCGTACGATGGCGCGGCGCTGATGGACGGCGAGCCCGAGGGCGCTCATCAGCTAAATGGCCTTTTGGATTCGCAAACCTCAGCTGTGATCATTTCGAAACGGCGTGTAATCAGCGCTCCTCAGATGGAACTCGGGGGATGGCGGGCAGATAATGGAGCTAATGGAAATGAGACACCGGCGCCGCCTGAGTGGCAGCTGCTGCCGACGAGAGAGGTGATGCAAGTAAGCCAGTGAACGGTGACAACACGTTGCATTTACGTTTTCCTCCGCCGCCGATGATCGTGTTTAGGGCCCGCCTCCTAAATTGTTCTGCTGCGTTTCGTTGGGAAACTCAAGGATGCCTTTTTTTTTTTGAAACCTCCGCCAAATATTGACGGGATCTGGGTCAAGTGGAAGAGAAATGGGTTAGCAGTAAGTTCCAGTAAAATACGGATTCGTCCGGTGCCTTTTCCTCCGCTCTGTGCCAAATCCTCTGTCTGTCTTCCTGCACGCAGGCAGCCCAGCCCCCGCTTTGCATCATCGTTGCCTAGTAACGCGCTCACCGCGCACGAAACTCCAGGCTAGATAGAAGATGCGCGGCGGTTTTGAAAAATGGACGTGGACAGCACTTTCTAGGCCACTGGATTGAAGGATCGTCCGAGTTCAGTCCAAGTGTGCCCAGACAGGCTGAAAAATGGACATGCGCGGCCCGTCCTTTGCTGACAATCCAGGGTGGTCGGGATGCTCAAGTTCAGGCTATCAAGTGTTTCCTCAATGTTCAAAGTCTTCCAAGTCCAAATCTTTATGGAATTTCCAGCACTTTTTAATAGCCTCCAGACTATGCCCAGGTTCAGGCTATTTCAGTCTATGAAGACACCCCCCCACGCAACGTTCATTGCTGGTCGGGCACATTCCACTTGATGTTCGTCGAAATGCTTTCTTGACTTCTCCTTCCCGATTGACTACCAAGTGAAATTAAATGCATCAATGCAAAAAGCGAAGAGATCAATGGAACGAGAGGAATTTGCGAAAAGACATTTTCACAACACCAATCGATTTCAAGAAGCAAAAACATTTTTCATTGCTCTCCTTCACAGGTTTGTCTTCCCGGGCTGAGTAGCTCGACTTCATTTGACTTTCATCTCAACAAATGCTGCGGGCAAGCACGGAGGAGGGCAAAGCGGGCTCTCCGCTTGAGAAGCTCGCCCATTTCCTCTCCAGGACTCCCCACGATGGCGGAGTCGTTTGACTTGCTTTTAATTTGATGACGTGGTCTCTCGGTGCTAAAAGGAGACTCAACGAAGCTCTCGTTGAGTCAGAGGCTCCGTTGTGTGCCTGCGCGAGGCCGACCTCATGCCGCGAGGAGAAATTCAATGCTGGCGTCAAGCTCAATTTTCCCAGCCAACCGACGGCAAGAAAGGTCCGACGTGAATCGATGCCGGTTGCCATGGTGGCTGTGAGAAGCGCCGACGAGGCGCTTCTGTTTGTCTGCTCGCTCATCATGTCCTCGTAGCCAAATGACTAATGGGGATGCAGCTGGACTGTTAGCCTGTTGCTCTTCATTATTCATCATAAAAAAAACATACTGCCAATGTCCGTGGGGGAGGGGGGGAACCCGGGATATTTTCAAGGAAATGTTTTTTTTTTTTTTTCCCTCAAGCAACAGCGCTTACCGGAGTGCTGGAGATTTCTTTGTCGTTGAAAACAAGACGCAGCTCGGCATCGTCGCTCAGACTTTCCGTGTGAAGCCACAGACGCGCGCCGCCCGTCTCCGAAACCTCCACATGCCAACCCGACTTGAGTGCGATCACTGGCGAAGGATGACACATTCCCATTTTTTTTCCCACAATGATGACTGAATTCATTCTCATATAACGAGTTCAATAACAAGATGAAGAGGCATACGTGGATTTTGGACTTGCTGGCTGAGTTCTTTGAGGCGCTCGAGGTCTGCAAGAGGGACAAGCGGTTCATGAATCTTTGACTTCATTGATGACATTTTGAAAAGTGAAAAGGAGAGAACATGACGGCTTATTGGCTTGGCGACCCTGCGAGAAGTTGCCATGCAACAAGATGAAATTGCTCCTGCTGGCGATTGTGAGTCCTGCGTTTGCGGAATTTATGCACAGCATGAAAATGCGGTGGAAACGTCATCTCCATTTTTTTTTCTTTTTTTCATCTGCAAAGCTAACTTCAGTCATGTTAAAGTAAAGACAAATAGATTTCGTTTAGCCTGCGTACAATTTCTAGAATTTCCAAAGTGGGAGCAGCACCTTGAAACAAACGAACATTTTTTTCTCCAGAGCGGGTGCAACCGCCTGAGCAAAATAAAGAATTCTATTTTATTGTTTGAAATGAACCTTTTAAACTAACTTCAGCCACGCCACAGTCAAAATGTATCGATTTTTAAGTTCGTCTTTGTAAAACTGAGAATTTTCAAACATAACACAGTGGAAGCGAAAAAAAAAAAAAAAAAAAGTTTAAAGACAAACTTTTTTTTTTGGCTGCACCTTCCCTCAAGCCACCCTTTTCAAAACTGTTTCATGTAATGTGAAGACTCAGAATGGGTTTCCAGTATACGGTGGCCTCTAAAAGAGGTATTCAAATGGTTGGTGGAGAGAACATGGAGAGACTTTGAATGGTCGGCAGGCCATTTTGCCCAACCTTCGGCAGTGAGGAGGTAGCTGGATGACAGGCTGGGCTCGTCGCTCATCTCCACGGTGTAGAGACCCAGGTCTTGCTCAGAGGGGTCGCTGAAGGTGAGGACAGACCTAGTGGAGACATAAAACGGATTCTAAGCCAGTGTATTTCTCGAGCACTTTCAAACCACCACCGCTGTCTCCAAAGTGCTGTATGTACGTGGAGCCAAAAGAAGTCACACAGCAACAAACAATAAATGAGTAGAAAGCACAAAAACCGTCAAACCAAACATCAAGTTTCGTGCGGAGGCAAAAGCCAAAGAAGAAAAATGATGTGTTGGAAAGATGGGCAGTGAGGGGGGCTTGCCCAACACTCATTCCAAAGAGAGGGAGCGGCGACAGAAAAGGCTCCGTCCCCTCTGAGCCTCCGCTTTGTTCTCGGTACTTCCAACCGCGTCTGGTCCGCAGACCCGAGGCGGCGGGCAGGGGTGGGGGGGAGCTCCGAGAGGTAAGGTGGGGCCGGGCCATTTCAAGATTGGAAAACAAGTCTTAAAGAGAACTCTAAAATGTTTGAAGGGATGCCAGAGTAGGAGTTGAGAGCTCCCTCTCACGGGTACCAGTCAAGAGGCGAGCAGCAGCATTTTGGACCCACTGGAGACGCTTCATGGAGGATCGGCTGACTCCAAAGTCAAGTGCTTGACGGCAATCCGGCCGGCGTCATCATCTCGCATCCTCTTACCCGAGTTGGTGAGCCCATGACATCACAGCCACACAGAGCAGGTGGGCCGTACCCACCTGCCGTCCTTGTTGTCGGCCTGAGCTCTCGCGCCGTCGATGGGCTGGCTGTAGTTTTTGGCCCAGAGACCCTCGTTGCCGTCGACGACGTGATCGCAGGCGAAGGCCAGGTAGATGAAGCCGTCGTCGTCCACGCCCGCCTCAATGTTTGGGCTGTCTGCGCATGGGTGATACGAGCAAGATTGATGTTGTGACGTTTCAAATCAAATGCCACCAGAAATCGTGCGGCAGAATGATGCGAGGCCTGACCTGGCGAGGTGAGTGCCACGATTGGCTCCGAAGGGAGGGAGGGGGCTCCTGCTCCCGCCTCATTGACAGCCGACACACGGAGACGGTAGATCTGACCCGCCTGAAGACCTGAAACCTGGTCGTCAGAAGAAAGGGAGTCAAACATTGAGCACCGGTCAGGGTGGTCATCATACAAAAATATCCTTGAGGATCAGGTGTCCTGGTCACATTCCTTGTTTGGCATATCCCGCCTTTCGTGATGAGGACGACTTTCTTGGGTTCAACCTACGGAGAACACGGCAGGTCTCCTCGACGCGTGCCGTGATTGTATCTCCTCACCTTATGATGAGTGTCGGTGACGGGCTCGTCGTTGACGGCGGTCCACTCGTCGGACCGCTCGCCTCGGCTGATTTCCAGTGAGTAGCCCGTGACGGGGCCGCGACCTTCGTAGAGCGGCGCGGCCCACAGGAGCACCAGCGAGTGGTCTTTCACCTCGCGGACCTCCAAGTCAAAGGGACAACCTGAGGGAGATTGGGCGCTGAGCCAGGCGTGTCCACCACGACGGCCATCGAGAAGCGCAAAGCTTGCCGCTGCGTTTGCCGAATGATTTGGGGGCCCACCTGAGAGTTATTCATGCCGCCCAGGGAGGCCCATCGGGCGGGATGAACGAGCCGCGCTTCCGAAAACGGCACGCGCCGGAGTGCGCCGCCTCGTTCCATTTTCGACGTGAATGTCACGACGCGGGTGGGAGAGCGCGCGACCGCGTTTTCTATGCGATCATCAGACACGGCCCGAGGGCTTTGGTCGCACGGCGGCTTTCATGTCGTCGCCATGGCAACTGTTGAAGGCCGAGCTGGGACCTTCCCGCACCTCGACCGGCACTCGAAAGTGATGAAACGCGGCTGATGGAAACAAACACGATGTGTGCTCGAAGAAGGCAGCATGAAGGCGACGACCTCCACCTCCACCTTATGACTGCTGTTCCAAAGAAGGGGGAACTATCCGGAAAGGGGGTGGGCTCAATTTCACAGTTTCGAGTTAAGCTGGGACACTTTGGCTATTTCAAACGGGAAACGTTTGGGTGGGGATTCTCGGGATTCGGGGCTGCACAACCGCTTCATCAATTTGATCGACTCATTCCAGGGTGATATTTTGAGTGCCATCCTTTGCGAATCCGCCCCCGCGTGTTCCGTGGCTTCTGAAGCAAATCCCTGTTGAGGTTCACCACTTACACTCACAATTTGGCTCCGACTGAGAGAAGCTCATTTGCAAAAGGAGTGTTGCCAATTTTGTAATTTGCTCACTCTATTTAGCAACTTATAAATAAATAATTAAAAAAGCTCGACAACTTTCATGGGAATCCTTTTCTAATTGTTTACGGTATGAGATAATTGCGCTGAATATTTTGAAAGGCCAGGTGCCCATTACATGTTGGGACAGCAGCGATTTCACAATGCGACCCCTGCCCCCCACCCGGGTCCCCGTTTCCCGACTCACCAGGCTCCGGCATGGTCCATTCCTCACACAGGAAAGCCTCACTGGGCTCTGATGGCTCCCCCACGCCAACCATGTTGGCGGCAAACACGCGGAACTGGTACCAAAGCCCGCTGCTCAAGTTGGAAACCTATCCCCCCCCCCCACCCCCCAAAAAAAAAAAAAACTCAGTCAGGTAACTAACAAGGGCCAAATCATGACTTGAGTGGAGCGTGTTAAAAGTTGACAAAAGCAAATAAAACCCAAGTGAGCTAGACTCGGCATTGCGGTTGTCTTTTCCCTGCCACGTTTGTTTGGATTTATGGCTCCTGGGTGGTATTTGAGAAGGCATTACCGTTTTTCTCTTGAGACCACCCCGGACACTTTTGCTTTGGAAAGAGAGGGGATTGGGCCTTATTGATTGGCACATTGATCTGACTATTCGCAAGCACTTCGGCATGAAGGCTCTTATCGGCTCGGTGAGACGCTCTCGCCTTATTCACCGAGGTGAGAAGATGCACTCGGAGGGGTGGTGGAACCCCCCCCCCCCTCCCCCCAAAAGGGATGCTTGAAATGACATATAATGATTCCAAGTACACTCAGCATCCACTTGGGGCCAAACGAGTGGCGTTGGATAGTTTGAGTCACTTTTCATTGCGCTTCCGCCCTGTTCAATAAATGTTGCTGGGAGTGGATCCCTTTCCAGGACAATTCTTCATTTTCTGCCCAAACAAAGCTCTGCATGCGTTTTTGGAACAGCAGGTCTGTGCCAAGAACATTCCATTTGGATTAGTTTATTCCGACACATCTTATTTCTTGTCCCATTGAAAAAAAGCGCTGTTTCATGCAAATGCCCTCTCGACCGATGATCCAACGACAAGTCCCGCTGTTGTTACGGCGACCACCGATGTGGAGCCGAAGAGAAGAGAGAGAACTTGACGAGCGATTGAGGAAATCATGCCTATCGGAAGCTAGCCCTAAACCAAAGGCGCCCCCCTAACCACTAAGCCACCTTAACCCGAACCTCACCCACAACCCCAACACTAACCCCGATCCCAAACCTCCCAATCCTTACCCTAAATCCAACCCTACCCTAACCCAACCCAAAACCCGAATACAACCCTAACCACTAACCTTCAACCAACCGTAACCCAAAAACGAAGTGCTCTCCCTAACGTCCAACGCGAAAACTAAATGCTTTCCACTTTGCCTAAAGCCCGCACCTCCCCGTAACCCTCGCCAGCGCTGATCTGCGCATCCAACAAAATGCCGCTCTAGCGTTAGATTTACTTGGACGTGTTTGTTGTTTTACACCTGATGGATGAGGCACTTCAGAGACCCCACTAGTAGTAATGAAGTAATTTAAAACGCCATTTTTCATTTGTCCACTTTACAGCTCACCGCTGCATCCTAAACATCGTAAAATCTCTGTCGAGTTGTCAAAATTAGGTTCCAACATTCAAGAAGGAATCCACTCATCGGTCTCCTCGAGACAGGCTAGAGACCTTTCGTGCAGAGATCGCACGGACACGGCTAGTTGCCTAGTGACGTGGCCAAAGCCAACTGGAGTCATTGGTGTGAAAAGGTGCAAAAATGGTTTTCTGCAAGACTCATTCGAAATGAAGCAACGTATGGGAGGGAAAAAAAAAAACAAAACAAAACAAAACGAAACATCAAAGAGACGAGGAAATCGACCGACCGTGGCCCGCCTCTCTTTGATCGCCTTGACGTTGACCTCTCGCCACGCATCAGTGCCCGCCTCCCGCTCGTCCAGGTAGTATCCCCTCATGGGGGTTCCGCCGTCCTGGCGAGGCCTCCTCCAGCCCAAAACCATCTCTGAGCCCGTGCACATCAGCAACGCGATGGCCGAAGGCGCCGACGGCACGCCTGCAGCGCGGGAAATAAAGCAGATGACAAATGCCAGCAGGGAAGCCGCATCTCCCAAAGACTTCCCGTCGGCATTCACATGAGGCTACGTTCAAGTTGAAGGCCATTCATTCTCACGCGGAGTGAAGGGCAGGAAAATGAGTCACATGAGCTGACGCGAAGTCACGAGAAAGGCCCGGTGGATCTCAAACAGGCAGATTATCATCGGTCACGAAATGCCACAGCGTAGCACAAAACACCTGATGGTACCTCAATGGTTGATTTTCACCATTATATACCATTCAGCGCTGATCCGGAAGGCACTTACAAATGGCGGCTTTGACCAGGATGGGGGGCGACTCGTCCGAGTAATCGCTCTTTCCCGCTTGACTCACTGACTTGATCCTGAACACGTACTCCTTACGAGTCTGGAGGCCATGGACTGTAAACCTGAAAAGGGCAAAAATAAGAATCGGTTCAAGAAATGTTGATGGAATGGGGAAAGGGGAGGGTGTGTGTGTGGGGGGGGGGCTTTGTGTCCACTGCCACCTGGGGTCACTAATGGGTTTATTGTTGATGACCTTCCAGTCCTCTTGACCTTTTTCCCTACAGTACAGGTAATATCCCAGGACACCTTCTTTGTCTTTGGGCTCTTGCCACTGAAGCGACACCGAGGAGTCTGTGTCTCGGAAGGCCAAGATGGAGGAAGGCGCAGCGGGGGCACCTAGGACAGAGCGCAACATTCCCATCAGCCCGCTGACCTTGTACAAGCACATTTCTTCCTACTTGGCTGATCTGTCTGCTTTTGATTCGGATGGTTGGTTGGTGGCGAGGTTGGTCGGCTGTTTACAGCGCCGGTTGGATGAGATGGTTTGTCCACAATAGAGTTGTTTGGTTATCTAGTCGGTCATTTGGTTGTTTGGGCAGTCGGTTACTTGGTCCATCGCTTGGCACACAGAATTTGATAAGTGACTCCAAGTTACATCGCCCTGACCTTTCCATTTGCTCAGGCTTCGCTCTCCCCATCCAGTTAAGGCCGTGGTGTCGCACATCGGAAAATTCTGACACACCGATCGGCTACGCCTTGCTTGTGCGCGAGCGTGGCTACCGCAGTAAAAGTAAAAAGGAATCACGGATGCACGGGGGCACCTGCTTCTCCACCCGTGTGATCCAAAGGCTCCAGAGGCCCGCGTTTTGATCTTGGCATCATTCAATCACCTAAGTGGGAAAAGAACAGCTTCCTATAGTTGATGCTAGTATAGCGAGCTGTAAAGCTAAAAGAACCGGCAGAAATTCACCTCAATTATTTGACGAGTCTGATTCGCTTGGTCGATTTGACGCTCATTGCGGGTTTTGGTTGGTTTGATTGGTCCGTCGTTGCGTTGGTCACTCGGTTGTTGGTTGGTTGGTTGAATGGTCGGTTGTTTGCTCGGACACACACACACACACACACACACACATACACTTCCTTACTTTGCGGTTTTCCCAGGCAGATGGGGCCGCTGGGCTCCGACGGCTCACTGACACCGTACTTGTTGACGGCTCGCACTCTGAAGTGGTACCGCGTTCCCTCGAGCAGGTCAAAGACAGGAAACCTGGGAGAGTTGACCACAGCATCCCGACTGGCCATTTCCCAGCCGCTCTTCCCTTCTTGCGACTAAAAGTGAGCCCAAGACATGAGTCAGACCACTTCCAAAGGAATCCGTCTTTGTTCAGCAGCTTCCCAACGCGCTGACGAGCCGGCCGCCAAAGTATGAGAACTCCTTCCAGGGTAATGGTGTCGTGATCCACAGCGGCGCACCCGCCGCTCGGCCGGAAACGTAAATGGATTCAAGATTCAAGGAGCTATGTGCGGATGCGGGCAAGGAAATGCAAAAGAACCGGCGGCGCCTCGACAGAGAAAGAGAAAAAAAAGAAAAAAACTCCACGAGAGCAACATCCATACCACTTTCCCAGCCTGCCATAAACCTTCTGGGCGGATGGCGTAGGATCTGTGTGGGGATACTTCAAGGTCATCGCGGGTGACGGCGCCTGCCCTGGACCTTAAATCCTGCGGCGAAGCAGTCGCATACAAGTTCACATTTCCGAGGGCAGGCCTCACCAACAAGGTGCCTACGGGCAACAGGTAGTGCCCCCCCCCCCCACCCAAGGACCACAAGAGGAGCCCGAAAAATACAGTCGCTCACCAATTATTTGACTTTCCAAGGCACTTTGGCAGAGGTGGAACGCGAGCCAGAAAAGACGGTCAAAGGCAGCGACGATGATATAGAAAGCTCGCTCGAGGGCGAGAGATCTATTGGAATGCGGGCCTCATTGTGGACGGCAAGTAGCAAACTTTGGGATTTCACATATGCCTTTGACAGCGCTGACACTTTTATTACCCCAGGAACCAATAACGGTCCAATAAAAAAGATTTCCTGCGGCGCGTTTCTGATGGGAAGTGGAAAATGTTGGGCCGTCTGAGCTTGGGGGGGCGGGGGTGCGGCGCCCACGAGGTGGGGGAATTCATCTTATTTCAACATCACTTTGAACTTTGGATGATTGTCTGGCATAAAAGAACAAAGGTGGTGCGTTGCCCGCCTCCCGCTGCACTCAGCAAGGCCGTGATGAGAGCGCTGACCTTAAACTGCACCCAACCTTGGAATCACTGATGCGCGTGGGATGCCTGTCTGTCCGCGTGCAGGCGTGTGTCAGTGCGGGTTCACTTGCAGCCGTCTCGTTAGATCAGAGCTGCGGTTGGGAGCTTTTGAGTTGGCCACACGTTCCGGCGCCGGGTGGGCCGAAATCAAGAAACGTGCCACGATGAATCAACATCCATCCTGGGGTTCAGCGCATGCGGAAGGATCGCTGATCTGAGCACGTTGACGCGACAGTCAAAGTCACATTGAATGAAATCCAATAAAGGAGCTGCATTCAAAATTAAACTCGAGCCTTGGGCCCCCTGGCTCCTCATCTGAAGCCAACAGTCTCTTCGACTTGGTCCTTAAACTGGACCGTGATTTGAATTTGGGCCGGCTCACGGGTACCGTTGTGCAATGCAGTACTCGTAAGAGGGAGCACATCCCTCCTACTCTCTTCGTACATTTTCGAGTTCTCTTTCAGATTTGTTTTCGAATCTGGCGGGGCCTGATCTCTCGGAGCTGCTCGGCACCTGCCCGCTGCCTCGGGTCCGCGGACCAGACACTATTTGAGGTAGCGAGAACTAAGCAGAGCCTCAGTGGGGTTCGAGTCTTTTCTGTTTATGGTCCCTCTCTTTGGAATGAACGTCGGGCAAGCCCCCTCGCTGCCCAACTTTGAAGCTCGTCATTTTTATTGTTTGGCTTTGGACACGGCATGAGACTTGATTTGTGGTTCGCCTGTTTTTGTGCTTTCTCCTCATGCGCTGTGTTCTTGTTGTTGTCGTATGAATTGTTTTGGCTCTACGCGCAGCACTTTGTAGACAGCGCTAGTTGTTTTAACGAGCTCTATGAATACATTTTGAGTTGAGTTGAGTTCCACCCACCCGCTCCACATAGAAGGTGAGCGGCTCCTTCCCTCGGGGTTCTGGCTCGGTCCAGCTCAGCACCACGTACGTGTCGCTCAGCTCGCAGGCGTGGACGTTGGTGGGGGCGAGGGGAATTCGGACCTGACCTGTGGCGTGATGAGCAGATGAAGAGTTGGTTCGGTGTGAAAGATGGCCTTTTGCTTTGTCCCGGGTGGACGGGAGTTGTGTCATCTTCCAATTTGTTGTTTGTATAATTTCGTAATTTGGAAGGGTGCATGTCGTCATCATCGGATTTTTCTGAACATTGACATGCTACGGAGGAATACCAAGCTGTATTTTGATCACCAAATGTAATACATTCATGACGTGAACACTTTTTAAAAAATGTTTTGCAAATGTATTTTTTCAAATGAAAACAATAAAATGCTCACGTACTCCCTCAAAAATAAAAAATAAAAATCCTGACACACCCTGGTCAAATAAAACTGAATCATGCCGAAAAGATTAGGTCAGAGAAAAATGGATTCAGTCGATTCATTTATTTTCAGATTTTTGTCCCCCTTTTTGGTAAAGAATACATGTTTTAGTTTCGTATAATATTGTGTCAAATGTTGCCCACTCGGCATCCATTACAGCCTGGTCATCCTGCAAAGGGGATTCTCCCATCTGCGGCCCCTTCTCAACTTTTTCCCCAGATGGGGTTTGTCTTTTCTAAATTCTCCCTCGGTGTGAGTTTGAGCCCCGACGGTTGTTGGACGATGTGTGCCCTGCGATGGGCTGGGTGGGCCCCGCCTACCGGCCGAAGACGGCTGGGATGCAGGCTACGGCACGCCCCGCGACCCTCATGAGGACAAGCGCGTTAGAAAATGGACGGATGGATAAACATTTACGTTTAGACACCTCTGCGATCATCACACTTTTGGTTCCAAAAAGACTCCCGCCGCCGAGAAGGGAAAAGTTTTTTGGTCCTCACAGGAAAAAGTTTGGGGACCCCTGTCATAAGGTTTTGGAAAATGATCCCTTTTTATTCAATTGTTGCAAAAATGATGATTTATTAACGACTCATTTACATTTTGTTCAGATATCTATGCCAGCGATGTGTAGTGACAGGCAGAATTCACTATTCATATACAAAATACGAGTGGTCACGAGAAAATTGTACATTGAGACACAACAACGAGAGTATACGAGAGTCAAAGCTGGTTCCAACGTACCTCCTGCGACAGAACGAATCTGTCCGTTATAGCGGGAGTTGGTTGGCACCGTTTCCAATAAAATGGCGGCCGATTCGGACGTCTCATACAGTAGGAACGTTTCCAATTGTAAAAACACAGAAATGAACTTTGACAGAGTTTTTGGATTTGAAAAGAGAACTGTCTTCTCTAAACGTGGCAATAAATTTTCTTTGCGCTCTTCTAGCTTTATTCTTGTCATTCCCATTTTTTCCGGTCTGCGTGTGGGGCAAAATACAAGACGGTGACTCACCAACGTGCGGCATTTCAAAGTCATGCGCAACTGGCTCCAAATGAGGACTGGTCCACTGAGTGCCATTTTAGTCGATGAATATTTCCTTTGCAGAGAATGCGCCTGAGATGAACAAAGCCGCGCCTGATGCATGCTTTCACCTTCACGCGTGCGTGTGGAGGACAACGCAAACGCATTCCCCCGAGCGACGTCACAACCGCAAGCGCCCGCCGCCAGATTCCGCATTGACCCAGAAGCCACTGGGGGCTGTTCATTTGGAGAAATGGAACGATCAATGACGGTACTGCCGAAACGAGATGAAGACGCATTTCGGCCGCAAGCAACGGGCAACGAAGTTTTCAGAAGGTGCTTTTGCGGGCGTCCTCATGACATCACTTCAATGCTGGAATGACAACTCATGATTCTCACCTTCCAGATCACCTTGAGTGATGACAACGGTCCTTCCTCCGTGCACTTGGACCACTAGGGGAGCAGGTGAGAAAGGCTGTTATTAGAGAGGCCGAGTGAAGTCACATTCGCGGGCATAACCGCAGCGCGAGTTGGTCAAATGGGCGGCCGCGGGTTGGCGTGAGAGCGGGACAAAAATAGGTGGGAGGGAGCAACACGGATGGATGGAGAGCAGGCCGGACGCGTTCAACCTGATGTCTTGTCCTTCATCTGTGTTGAACGATGCACAACGGGACCACGGCCCATCTGCCCTCCGTATTATATCGTGAACGACAAACACACGAGGACGCACGCACGCCACATCTCAGTGTTTTCAGTTTGAGCACTCCTAAGTCAAGCTACCATCATGTATAAAATGTTTGGATATTATATTCCCAACATCAGGAAAAAAAGAAAAACACACATTTGTTGTGTTTAAAAGTAATCAGCATTGTCAGTTGGCTTACTGAGCTTGAAAGGAGTACCACTGGGTTGTGTACTCGACCCGCCCTCTTTCTCCACACACAAGCTAGCAATCAATCGATCCATCCATTCATCAATCCCTCCCTCCAGATCTACAGGTAAAGATAGATATAGCGTTATGGAGGGGTCAAACACACAACCCTGGGGTAGTCCTTTCAAGCTCAACTGACCAATGCCTGTAACTTTTCTACTTTTCAACCGCATGAAAAGCCGCATTTGCCTTCCATAGAGAGCCCAGCGAAGGCGGGCCATTGCTGCCAATGGACACTTTCACGTGGTCGTGTCTGATTTCATTGCCATCGATCATCCCTTGATAAGATCACGAGCACCAGTGTCAAACCCTTGTCTGACAGTTCAAATTGCTTTCAATCAAACACGGTGGGAGAAGTGTGTCTGGAGCGTTGGCCCTGTCCTGGCATTCTGATATTCCACCGCACACAGGTGCTGCCCGACCTATCACGGCTCAGTGCACCTCCACTATTGCTGGGGCGAGGCCCATTTTGTGTCTCCGAAGCTTCCTCCAGAGAGAAATGTCGTCTGTCAGCGGCAGTGCCTTACCCATGGTCCTGGCATGTTGAAGGGGGTCCTCGGTGAGAACGGGTTCCGTCGCCTTGGAGGGGCGACCCACGCCGGCCTGATTGACCGCCCGAACTCTGAACTGGTAGCTGGCTCCTTCTTTCAGCCCGAACAGCGGGTAGCGGCAGGCTTTGTGCGGGTGCTCGTTGCAGCGCACCCACTGGCCCTGACTGAGGTCACACCTGCAAAAGAAAAGAGTGATGGCTCCCAGCACACATAAACGAGGGCCTTCTTTTCAGAGTTTCACTTTCTAACGTCACGGCGAGGCCGCGCCACAAATCTAAAGTGGTAACCGCCCCGCTAAGACCCGTAATAACCGCGGCGCTCCAGCAAACACATTAAAAACTTATTTTCAAAGATAAACGTGGGTCCCTCCCGGAGAAGGGAACTTCAAGAGCAATCTATTGCGGTGTTCCGGAAAACAAAGAGAGATGAGCGGGGGATTTGCACTAAGCAGAAGGCTGTTGCTAGGGAACTGGGGAGCTATTTTGTCCTCTCCAAGCCAGAAAGCAGGCATGTTTAGGAATTCAATCCACCACTCCAATTAAGAGAGATCCAACACAAACACGCACAGTAGCCATCAGCGCGCACGGATGAACGAGGGCCTTTGCAGAAGACTCCCAAACGACAAAGCAAGAGAGTGGATTTTAGACCAAGTCCACACGCAGAGGATCAACCTGATGGATGGCTGCGCCGATAGCATACGAGCGGCATCCGTTTCTCCGGCAGGAGTTTGTGACTCCATTATTCGCAGCATGTCGAGGGCTGATCATTATCACGCGTGCCATTCATCTCATGAAAAATATCTCGGCTGCTCCTCGGTCCCTGCCTGCTGGTTTTTTTTTTTTCATCCACTGACTGATTTCCCCGAGAAGATGAGAATCCCACGAAGCCAACTCAAGGACTGCCGCGCAGCGAGCCACGCCATTCAACGCGACTCAACCATATGTGGTTTGCGGTCATCGGTTTGCATGGTTTGTTCCTTGACAATCACTCCACGTTTGTGTGGTTCGGTAACAAATGATACCGTCCAGCTGGATGTATGCGGAGCTTTGAAAAGGGATACGGGGTTGCAGTTTTTCCAGTGAGTTTGAGTCGCCCAACGTCATTTTTCTGTGACGTTCCACTTTTGTCGCGCTCGGCTGGTCGCTGGGAGCCACGCGCCCATGTTACGACGTTCTTTCTTCTTACCTCTCAACGTAATAACCCTCGATGGGTGATGTTCCGTCAGCACTGGGCGGCTGCCAAGTGAGGAAGACGTAGTCCTTGTGGATATCCGACACCTGGACCAACAGGGGAGATGCGGGAGCTCCGACCGCTGTGGCCGACGCATCTGAGTTGCACGATAAGGTTGAGACATACGAGTGAGGGAGGCGCTCGGGACAGGCCGTGCCATGTTCCAAACTATTTTGACACAGCTGGCGGATCGAATGAAGAACCAAAACAAAACAACCAATGTTCTTCATTTATGGAAGGCTTGACTGAAGTCATGGAAACCGACATGCTTCAAAGCCTTGACTTGAGGTTACGCGGGATAAAAAGTATCATCCACCACATCGCTCCGTTTATTTTCCCGCGGCTCCCGCGTTTGTTTTTGGTCTCAGCAATCTTGTATTTGTCATGCAAATGTGACTGCTGAATGGAGGCGCTCCGTTCGGATCGACTAATTAATACCTCCGGCTCTGGCAAAGAACAGGCTTTGTTACGAGGGAGACAGAGAGACTGCAACCCCAGACACACTTTCAGCGTTTGAGGCGTCAACTGAGAGCTGCGCCTTGTCCTCTTGTCACCAGTCGCTTTGCTCAGCGCGGAACGCTGTCAAAGGGTTTGAGACGGTCTGATGCGAGGGCTGCTGTGATTGGATTCTGCGCAAAAGGTACGAGGCGGTGGAAAAATACATCACGTATGGTTTCAGAAAGGAAACGTTACGAAGCCGAAGTGACAGTGCCATTTCCTCACCCGAAAGTGCGGCGGAAGGAAATTCAATCAAAAACAAACATTGCGTATGGTTTCAGAAAGGAAACGTTACGAAGCCTAAGTGACAGTGCCATTTCCCCACCTGAAAGAATGTGCGGCGGAAGGAAATTCAATCAAAAACAAACATTTGGGAGCGCAAAAGACGAGAACCGGTACACCCTCATATTTGGGATGCAAGCACACATTTCAGACTGCAATGCGGTGGGGTGAGCTTGTATTTTGAGAGTGATGGAATGCGATGTGGCAGCTATTTGGTCTCGCAGGACGCGGCAGAGGAGTCCATGCAACATGGCCCCGCTTTCCCTCAAAAGCAGCCGAGAGGAAGCACTCTGGTCGCAAGGCATGCCTTCTATGGTCCTCACCTTCAACGTAGACATAGGCACTAGATTCCAGGATTCCATCCCAGGTCTTCAGGCGCACTGTGTAAACTCCTTCGTGCTCCTTGTACACAGTGCGAAGCGTCATCGAAGCTGCGCCGTTTGTTGTCTTGGTGTCCACAGCGTCAGATTGGAGCAGTGGCGTACCTGAAACGGCGAAACGACGGATGCTTTTCGGTCACCCTCGAAAGTTGTCCGGCTCAGTCTCCGACCTTACCGTCTCGGAACCAGGTGACGTCCTGCTGGAAGGGCAGCAGAGGGGCGGTGAAGGAGCAGTGCAGGGTGAGACTGTCGCCTTCTTTCACCCAAGTTGGTGGAAAGGCGCTGGCAAAGCTGGCTTGTTGCGAGGCTGCAAAGAGCAATGCAAAAACCTCCTTTTCACCTTGTGGTATGGGAGGACCGCGCTCGAGTTTGGATCGGATAGGCAGGACGACACCGGCATCGGTTTCAAAACAATTCCATTGCGCCACGGAAAAAGGTGGGCAGTTGTTTTTGAACCGCAAGTGGACCACAGTGTGTCTCAGCCTACCGAAAGCTGCTTTTGCAACCCGATGGAGGGCTACACTGAAAATGTGATGGTATGTTTCAGGTATTTGGGCGTCCTAAACAACAGAAAAATCCTACAATACATGTCAAAGGGAACCATGCTACTTGGTGCCAACCTAGCTAAACGTAGCGTGAAGATATTTTATCCAGACAAGAACACGCAGAAATTCTCTCTGAGCCTCCACATCCGGGTCACCACATCTTCCATTTCCTCTCTTCAGATAGGCGCTATCGGACTATGCACACTAAAATCATTCCAATAGCTTCTTCCCTCTTGCCATCGAGTGGTAACGCCTTTATTTATTTTTAGGCATTTAAATACGATCATTCTATAGCACAAATGAAACGGGAGTTTACTGTATGGTAGTCTGAGATCAGAGATTCCTGAATTGCCGGGTTCTCTGGAACGACGCCTATGAAGTGAAACCCATCTCATACAAGTCTGGAACATGAGAGAGAGGCATTCCCTCGAGGAAAGACGCAAAAGCCAAAAGATGTGACAGCTTGTGGATAGTGAACAATTCCTGGCACGCTATCACTTCAGCTAGCGCTTGTCAAAAGCACTGAGGCGACACAATCTCTCTCACAGTAAAAAAAAAATAAATAAAATTAAAAAAAAAAAAAAAGACGCGACGGGTGCTGTGAGATCTTGTCAAAGCTGCTGTCAGGAACGAATCAGAGAAACTGTGGCATCATTTATTTGTGTGCATTTTTAATAAGAATCACCCTGCTTGGATCTTTGCTTGTCATCACTCACAGGCCCCGCCTTTGTATCGCCGCTTTTGCCGCTTGACCGATTCGCCTTTGCATGCTATGATGGTGATGGTGGCGTACGGCAAATAACTTCAGACCACATTTGAAGGATGAGTGACGACTCGACTCCCGACGACGCCCCGTGACGTGGGAATAACTTGTCAGTTTGGGCACACCTAAGCAATCACATGCGCCGGAAAAGCAACCCAGCAGTGCAAACAACGAGAAGGCATTCTGAATGGACTGCCCTGGACTTTGCTCTCTTTAATCAGAGCCTATTCAGGCCGAGTTTTTTTGGTTTGGCATCTGAAGTGTTTCAACTTCATATCTGACAATCTGGGTTGAAATGGAAGGATGAAGGCCACTTTTGGAAACATGCTAAAGTCAGTCAAGAAAGCAATTCGAGATTGTTTGCATTGTTCATCAGCTTTGTGTTGAAGGTGTTGAGGGAATAGTGGATGATTTTTTTCCCCAAGTTTATGGGGTGGCCAACAGCCCTCTCGCTCACAGAATAGATCTGGCTCTGCACTTAACAGCAGCCGGATCTCATCTCCACATTCAGAAACAAAAAAAAAAAAAAAAAAAAAAAAACGAGGATCGGCAGTTCAGCCGCCTCTCCCAATTGGAGAAATACGGCTCGCAATTAAATGAGTTAATAGGGTCAGATCAACGTGGACACTGGTTAGAGGGAGCTTACCCCGAGTCCGGGAATCATCCGACCCAGCCGTGGCTCCTTTGTACGCTGGTCCAGGTGAAGCAGGGCCCATCCGAAATGAGAGAAAGAGAGAAAAAAAAAAAGAGGTTCATATTCAGAGGAAGCACTGGTGGATGATCAAGCTCAGTTATGCGACGTGTCATCCAGATCAAACCCACTTCATGTTAACGGCAGCCAGGGATGGGCGCAAGTGGGATTTTTCTCAAAGAACACGGACTCCTTATCCTTCAACGATGAAAAGATGACTCCGCCCCAACAAAGGGAGCGATGAAAAGTCATCACGAACGTGAATTAGAAGATCTTTGGCTCGGTGCGAAAAGGCCGTGAAAGCCGTTTGATGTACGACGTAGCGAGGGAAGGTGCAGCAGTGTTGCTTCGAACGGTTCAAACGCGCCGGCCGACGCGACCGGCATCGACTATGTAGGGAGCGTGCCGCCAGAAAGGTTGCGCACGCATTCCGGAGTTTAGGAAAGAGTGGCACGAATGAGCATGTGCATTGTGAAGCAAGCAATAATTTTAGAATCAGTCGGCGTCACCCAGAGCCATTTGCAATTCAGTGACACTTGATTGCAGTTAACCGCGAGGGGAGCTTGCGTGGCTTGTCATTTCGCTTCATTGACTATTGGGATTGGTACCACGTCCACACGATGGTGCCAAATGTGGAACCTGACGCGTCCATGAGGCACTCTCACCAAAGTAAAAGTCTGCTTTCAGAATGCCCGCAGTCATTGGTAAGAACTCACGGTTCACCAGCAGCGTGGCGAAGGTCATGGCTTCACCCAGGGGACTCTTGGCCACCGCTTTGTACACGCCGGCGTCATCGGGAGAGCATCTGGTGGGAAATATGAGAGGGAAGCCGGTGGAGAAGGTGAATTTCCCGAACGTCGGCATCGAGAGCTTTCCAGCGACACACCTTCTGATCTCCAGGTAATTCAGCCCAAATGCTTGCTGAAGCCCGTAATTCCACGGCATCTCGGGCTTTCTTAGCGCCACGCCATCTTTGTACCTTCAAGATACGGTGAAGCAACAATCCGATCGACACATACGCTGAACTCGTCTGTCACACCGATTGCGATGGCACTGAGTGAAGCTGAACAGAATCTTACTCGGACTCCCTGCGTTGCCGTGATTCCGTCCACCTTTCCAGGTAAAGACTTTTTTTTTCCCCTCAAAGAAAGTGGGACGATCAAATCCTTCAATATTTGGGGGCGAATCAGTTTGAGTGGGAATTTGATTTGAGGGCTTTTAATGTCTCGGCATTTTAATGCTGAGCTCCATCTCGACGCCATTCCAGATTCTGCTGAATCTGTCGGACAAAAGCTCTGCTTTCAATCCGTCTTCTCGAGCGCTCGTCCTCCTTCTCAGTCTTGGTTGAACTGGAGCATTTTCCAGCCGGGGAGCCAAGAGGGCCAGCAGTTCAACCGGGGATGGGTCACCGGCCCATCGCGGGGAACAATTTCACCGTGTGCGCCATTTGGAATGTGCGCGGAAACCGTAGCCGGAGAAAGTCCCACGCGAGCACGGGGATAACGTGCAAAGTCCACACATGCAGGCCGGCGCTGAGATTTCGACCGGTGACCTCACAACTGCCTGGCACTCGTGGCGATCATACCAACAGTCAGCTTGATGCAAGAAAGACCAGAATTGACCGGCTCAGGGGAGAGCAGAAAGAAGAGCGAGCCTTCCAGACTGTGGAGCGAGCATCTTACCATGTGACCTGAGGCGGTGGGCATCCTTGGACCACGCAGGCGAGCTGCACCGTCATGCCCTCCCAGACAGTGTGAGGCCTCAGGGGCACTGAGAAGTCTGGCACCTTCTGACTTAGACGCTCCAGATACTCCAAGTGCTCGGATGCCTTCTTTTGTGCCTGAAGCATTCCAAAAAACACAACCATAATGTCACAAAACGCAAATTATGAGCGCAGAAACCAATTTTTCTGTGTCAATAAATTCTCACAAAGGCGGCATAACATTCACTAAGCGACTGTGATTGCGTTCGACCACAAAAGTTGGCAAAATGAGTTTAAGAAAGTCACCCAACAACCACATTTTGGATTCTGTGTTATGACATCCCAACATTTACCTCTTTGCGAAGGGCCGTTTTGTCCACGCGGGTGCGTAGCAATCGTTGGCTCCGCATCACGCCCGCCTCCAACTTCTCCGCCTCGTTGCCAAACATCGTCCACTTGTCTCGATGGTAGCCTTCGTCGGCCGCTTGAGTTTCCCGAAGGATTTCCCTGGCAGACCCAATCGCCCATGAAAGGCCCGATAAGAATGTGGTTAATTGTAGCGAAAAACATGGCAAACAAATGGGCCCGAGCAAGCCACGCCGAGATTTTTCGTGGCAAATCCTCGAAATACAGTCATTCGTCCCCTCAGGAATCGGCGATTGAGGAATTTGCCGCGGGTTTTAGTTTTCATGTCGTACTCGCACAAGCTACATTCGCACTGCGGGCCATGATGCCCTATTCGGATTTTTTAAATTCAATCCGCTCTTTTTATGATCTGATTACAAAAAAAACAAATGCGTCGTCGATGTGCCACGCATGCGCACAAAGCACGACGAGCGACGCGCAAAAGACGAAGTTTCGACACTGGCAGTGTTGACCGAAGTCAAGACCATATATCATATGACCTCATTGTTTTATCATCTTATATCGACAGAAGAGCGAAGCAGGAGGTGGTGGAATTATTGTGGGGGAGGGGGGCAATGAGGTGACGCTTTTCCGTCGCTTCAAGTCGTGGAGACGTCGACTAACAGTGACGTCAGAGGTTGAATGACGTTTATGATCGTACTGTACCTTTGCGATATCCAGCTCAAGTGGCTAGGTTACACTTCAAGTCTTTGTTTTTATGTCACTTGTTCACAACCTAAAACGCGTAGTTTGCAGAATTGTTTTGCACTTTAATGAAAATAAACCGTGCTTCATTTTTTTATTGTCCTGTGTGGGGCCTCTTAAAAAAGGTTAAAAAAGTGTGTACCAGACAGTTAGCTAGACGTACGATCCGCTATTGGGGAAAAATGGTTCATGTTTTCCCCAGTCATGTGTTAAAGGCTTGACGAATCTGTGCCTTGAAGGCAGGACCTTTCTTTTTCCAGTGTTATTCTTTCAGATATGAAGAAAAATGTTCCCAGACAAAAAATATTAAATCATGAAGCGGGAATAAGCGATTTCACAGGCTCGTGATGACACTTGGGTCATAGATTTCATGTTTTCTTTGAACATGTTTTTATGTTGTCGTCTACGTGCAGCACTCGCTTCAACATGCAGAAGTAGAATGTTTGAAATCTGACGCCAGGGGCGTGCATTTGGTGATACAATATCCACAAACGCAGCTCTGATCTACGGCAGCCGCTCTGGCGTGAAGGGCTCAACGCGTCGCGGAGATAATCGGCAGCCAAGTGCACAAACGGCAGAGATCCACATGGATGCTGATGTGTGCAAAGCCACTCTGCAAAAAGTAGTGGCAACCTCAATGCTATTTGTGACCTTTCCTGTCACAAACTTCTTTTTTCTTTTAAATCAAGTCTGTCAGTCCTGAAGCAAAAGATTCAGATTCAGATTCAGATTCAGAAAACTTTATTTATCCCCGTGGGGCAATTAGGGCGAGAGAGCTCATCCAGCCTGCAGAAGTGAGATTGTTTATGGCTTAATTTCTGCACTGGAGGACATTCTGAATATTTATTAGCAATGTCGAGGACAGCTCCTGTCGAGACAAAACATCCCCGCATCCATCTGTCAATGCAACGTTACGCCTGAGAGGAACTGATGGGAAAGCAGCCATTTTGGAGACACACTGACTATGTTAACATGCACAAATGAATCTCGCCGTTGGCACATTTCCGTCTCTCCACTTTTTTTTCAACTTCTCTGTAAGGTCACAGTTTACCTGCACTAAGTGTAGTCGGTTGTTTCGATTTCGGTGGAGGGTTTTTTTTTCTTTTTTTTTTAAACTACGAAGAGGTTGCTATTCAGGGACTGGATGTGTGGAGGGGAGCCAAATGTTCCTAAGATGTTTTCCTTTTTTAACATTGAGGTCATTCATGGAATAATTGTTAGGCTAGATGAATAAATTATACAATAAAATACAGTGGAACCTTGGTTTTCATGTGCCCCCCCCCTTTTCTATGATTTATTTTTAATTTCTATGGTATTTATTAAAAGGGTTTTTGAAGCATCAACATTTCAGCATTTTGAAATCAACTCGAAGGAGTCTTTCACTCATTCCATTTGGTGGGTGGCACGTCTGGCTCACAGTTCGAAAAGTGCAGATCGCAGCTCCATCCTTCCTGTGTGGAGTTTCCGCGTGCTGTTCAAATGCGAGCCCCATTCAGGACAAGCGGGAGAGAAAATGCGTTTGGAGATGGATGAATGGGCGCAGCCGTGAGCGCAAATGCAAAAGGGCGCGCTCGATGACTCCTTGCGGGGTCTTTTGGCTGAATGAGGACAAGCTGGCCTGCCGCAGATAGACGAGGCGGGGGGATGAGGAGCCCCGATTTCCGATGTTTTGTCCAGACCGCGTTGTCTGAAAAGACGTGACCATCCCGCTTTCATTTCACGTGCGGCAAAGGGGCAGAAGATTTGAAGCCATTCGCAAAGTAGGGAGCGCAGATGTGGCCAGGAGGAAGAAAGTCATTCAGTTCTCATTGGGCTCCATTTGGTGCCGACAAAAAGCTTTTACAAAATAACATTTGCAATCAAATGTGCCTCCCGTGGCTTTGGTTGAAAGGCGGGCGCCAAAACGACGGCCGATTGTTTGTGCCTGCCAGCATCATTAAATCTCCAACTGGGGCCCTGCGGTTCTTCTTGATCTTCTTTTTCGGCACCGTTTTTCCGCTTGACTCTTAAAATGTTACTTTATTGCATTCTGTTGGCGGCGTCGAACATTTGAAGACACGTTGCCGATTGTTCCTCACTGTGCCGGAAATGACGAGCATGTCCGTGATTGCTCTCGTCAAAAAAGGCCCAAAGATCAAGAACAACGACACCATTTTTTGTTGTCTTCCTAAGCGACATCGAAAGGTGGTTTGATGTCGATGCAGTTCTCGGATTGTGCTGTCCAACTTTTTCATGATATTTTCCAGTTTTTCGAGTTTGTTGTCGGAAGGAAAACACAGAGCCGCATCAACTTAGACCTTTGCTCCAAATGCTTCCCCGGGCGGGCAACATTCATCTGTTTCGCATTAGAATTGAAAGAGGAGTTCAGAGGTGAATTCAGAATAGAAAATAGGAAGGTCGAAAATCTAGTCAAGCGCCTGTCCTTTGGCTCTTTGACTTATCAAGCGCATCTGCGACACACTTGGCCTGATGACAGTGATCCCTCGCCACTTTGCGCTTCAAATTTTGGTGCTTCAGTCTTTGTGTTTTTTTTTTCTTTGAACTAATTAAAAAAAAAAATCCAATTTTAGGGAACTGGGTCATATCGGCAGCCATATTGCCGAAAGACACGTTGTTTCATGTCGATGCGGTGGGAAAGAAGGTTACCCTGCACGCCGAACCAAAAGCTGCCGTGACTCCGAGGCTTTGCGCGAGGCCACTCACACAATTGGTTCCCGGCGCGACACGGACCAATGAGAGCGCCGGTGGATTGATCCTGCGAGCGCATCGTCGTCTCGTATAATGCATCTTTGCATTGTGCTGGGGCGAACTTTTTTTTGCTTTAGCGCTCCCTTTTTTTTTGATGAGGTACCCCTTTGCCGCTGCCGGGAGCGTGTCGGCCCGCTCGTCGGAGATGGCGCCATCAACGGGGACACGTTGCTTCGACGGCGGCGGGTCGCCATGAACCGCCAAAAATATCTCACCATGTCCTGTGGCGGGGGAGGTTTTCCATCTGCAGGATCTCCTTCGCAGACATCACGTCCACAGGGATGACGGGAACGACATCAGAGTATGGGACTTCCTCGTCACTATCAAATAGAGAGAATGAAAATCATTGATACGGAACAGCGACTGAACCCCCCCCCCCAAAAAAAAAAAACAATAGCAGACACTTGAACCTCTCATAATAGAAGGAATGAGCTGATTCCTTTGTCAAACATAATCTGGGCGAGAAACTGCCAAGTGCCATTTCTTGACATGCTCTCTGGTATGCCGTTGGGGAAAAAACGGCAACTCTTATCTCGGTAGAAAGTAAGGAGGTTGTGGGATTGAGGTCTTCGGGGGCGGGGGCGCAAAAGTCAGCAAAGATAAACAAAGCAACAAAGTGTGGAGAAGACAGGCGGGCGCTCTTTGAAATGTCAGTAGCGCTCGCACCCCGTTGTCAGCGTGACGCTTGCGGAGAAGCCGGCGAGTGAGCTTCATTGCCACTCGTCCGTTTTTTCTCGTCGGGGTTTGCTGATCTGTCGCACTCCGCCAAGAGCCGTTCTGTGATTTCCCTGGGATGCGTCACGCAAACCAAGCCTTCTTCCTTGAGAGATTAGAGTTCGCGGCTCGGTGGCGTCGCGAACGGCGTGTTTGTTTTCGGAGGAGCCTTCTCTCCTCGTGTGGCACAAAGTCCAATCTGCCGCATGACCTGTTTTCGATTCAGTGAGGTGAAGCTAACGAGCACGTTCCTCTCATCCGCGCCACCTCAGTCCATTGGGAGCTGAGATGATACGGTGGAAGAGTGTTCAATCGGCCGGCCATGCATGCTTTTGGAATGTGGGAGGAAACCGGAGTACCCGGAGAAAAGCCACGCATGCCCGGGGAGAACATGCAAACTCCACACGGGAGGCCGGAGCCGGGATCGAACCCACGACCTCTACACTGTGAGGTCGACGCGCTAACCAATACCCCACCAGGCCGCCCACTGGGCGGTCAGTAGATCCTAACTCCGGTCCCGGTTGTGATGAAAATAGAAAAAAGCGGGGTCATGTGTGTCATCGCCATTCTGGAGAACCTTGGCGATCGGTTGGAGATGAGCAAATTCGCCAAAGTTGCTTCTTCGTCATCAACAATCAACTGTGCCGATCGACGCGCTGATCACGTTTGGCGCTTTGCCGCATTCGTGATTTCATTTCGACATTTTCAAATGATCGCTTTGCAAAGTTCTGAGAAAATGCCAACGCCCCACGAGCAGAACGGGGCCGCGGGCGAGTCCTGCGCCGCCTGATTCCGTCCGCGCTCGCTCGGCTGCAACGTGGAGTGGATTTCCTTCACCGCACAAAGGTCTCGTCCAAACGCGCGCTGCCGTTTGGTGGCGAAACAAACGGCGTCTCGTATTTACTCGGGTGCGACAGCCGGCTCGGCTCGCGAGCTTCACACATGCCGATGCAAATCTGCGTGACACTTCTCCTTTTTCTTTTTGTTTGCAAGCCTGGGAAATTTTCCTCGCGTTTCATCGCGGTGCAACTTCTGCTTTTTTTTTTTAGGGGGGGGAGGGGTGGGGGAGGCCTTATTTTTGTTTCTTTCTTCTTTGTGTCGACTCCCTTTGAGAGTACGCTGACAGGACGAGGCCGTTGAATCATGTAGCACGCGGCCCGCGGCACCTCGCAGCGTCGCTCCGGCACGCAGACGGCGTCGCATGCATACAAAGGACTGACAAACACGCCAGCGCGTGCGCGCCACCTTGTATTGTTTGCGCTTCGACAACGTTAATAACGGCTTCCTCAATTTCCCGCGGAAAGGGGAATTACAAAAGAGGGAGCGAGGGGTGGGGGGTGAAATACAATAATAAATACAGCGCGAGAGTCAACAACAACGAGACGAGTCCGACATGCGCTCGCTTCTACAATGAAACCAGAAGCCCTCCACCGAGGACGCTTCACAGCGTCGGCTCCGCAGTCGGGACCGGAGGCACGTTTGTCGTTGGCGTTCTTGGTCTGTCCGTCACATTGCCATCCGAGGCTGGTCTCGGGCAAGCCTTCGGGCTCCGTCTTTGAACCTGCCGCGAACGTTCGGTGGAGTGGCGTGAGACGATTCGGCTGATCATCGAGTCGGAGGTTTCACGCGGGGGTCCTGCAAAATGTCCCTTCGTAACGACCTTGCGGCGCCCCACCATCCGCTTGACAACACCAGGGTCTGAATTGAACACCTCGGTCCCAACTTTGAGGAGTACCGAGGACTTAAAAATAAATCAACAAATAAATAAACGCTGATTGGGAAACGAACGGAAATGCGATGGTGGCGTTCAACGCGGGTTCCGGTGGTTCTGGTGTGTCAGGCTCGGTTGGGCACCTGGAGGCGAAGGTCTTCTTGTGACGATGCGAGGAAACCTTCACGCTGCTCGACATGCTGGACGACTCTTCCTCCCGCTCTCGACGCATCGCCGTCCTGGTTTCCATGGTAACCCCCAACAGGCGCCTGTGGAGGTGCGAGGGAGGGAAGAGGTTCAGAGAGTTTCTCTCTTCTGAAGCTCACCTCAATGCAACGCTATCACCAGCCAAGCTCGCAATTATGACTTCTGCCATCGTATTTTTGACGCGACGGCGGTGAAAAGTGAAAGGCTGAGTGAGACAGCCAAACACGAATTGTTTGCGAAGGGGCACAAGGGGACCACCGCAAGACGTTTCTCAAAATGTTCTGTTCAAATTCTCTGGCGTGATTCTGTTTTTGCTGAGATTAGATTTGGTTTCGTTTTTAGTTTACCGTCATGCTTCCGTTCCGTCGGAGGGCTTCTCCTCCGGCGTCGCACCTTATTGGTCCTTTTCAGTGAAAAGGACTGCGGGATCGCTGTGCTTCCTTCCTGGCTTTTTCTTTGCATTGAATGCTTTGGTCGAGGGGCGTTTTCAGGGCTTTGTGGGTGTCAGTGAGTTTGTTTTTCAAGTGCGCCCCTGGAAGCGTTTTTGTTCAGTGCCCACCCTGCTTCCCCGTCTCTCGGCTTTTGGGACCACCAGGCGCTGCAAGATGGTCTCAAAATGAATTTCTCCAATTTCCCAGCTCAAAGTTCTCAAAGAAATCTGTTCTTCAATTCTTGAAGTTGTTGGGTTGAATTCTCCAAAATGAATGCCATTTTTTGCTCAGTTTTTCACAAACATTTGGAAACTTTCTCTTCAAACTCTCGGCGATTCCTTTCCAATGTTCCCCAACAACGGATGCCAATTCCCCAAAGTCTCACATCTTGAAGCTCCCCAAAATGTTTCTTTTCGCCATCATTCTGGGAACCTTTTTCACGAGGGTTTTAGCAAGAGCAATTTTTGGACTGATTCCTTGACATTTGGTGGGAATGAAGGACAATTGGGATTTGACATATGACCAATTTGGTCTCACAAGCAGACATGCGTGTCCATCCCAATGGCAGTTTCTTTTCACCGTTGCCGCATGAAATGCGGCGCATCGTCCGACGTCTTCCCCGTATTCAAGTTGTTTTCTGTGGAAAACGTGGAAAAGACGCCCGCTCTTTGCTTCGTCATTGCCGGATCAATGTCAATGGGCCGAGGCGGCAAACACGTGTTATTTCCGCCCCTGACGAAATGAATCGGGGCTTCTTTGTTTTGCCGCTAATGGCTCTCCCGTCGAGGTCCGCCGCCCTCCTCGCCGCCATTAATCATGCAGCCGCTTTCGGTAAGCCAATGGCCTTCTGCGCCCAAACAAATAAAATCGGCCCGCTCGCAAATTCTAGCGCCGTTCGCCCGCTTGTACAAAAGGCGGCCATTGACACAAACATCATGTGTCTCTGTCACTTAAGTCACGTCGGGGGCATTCGCAACGGGGTAAGAGGCGAATGCGCCTCCCTCAGTGGCTCCTTTGTGCCTCGGCGGTGTGAAGACAAAAAGGAGAGCTTCGCTTGGGAACGGACAGCTTTCTTGCCAACTCCTCAAATGGCCCCGCAGCCAAATGCAACAGCGCTCTTCTTTTGCCGTACGTCATTGCGGCGGTTAAGATCACGTGTAACACAACGCAGACGAGGAGGGCAGATACAAGGAAGATATCAATAAATCCATCCATCCATGTTACGAAACGGCTTCATCCTCACGAGGGTTGCGAGCAGGCTGGAGCCCCTCCCAACCGTCTTCGGGCAGCAAGCGGGGGGACACCCCAAACCGGTCGCCGCCCAATCGCAGGGCACACGAAGACGAAACAATCATCCGCGTTCACATTCACACATTTTCGATATCTTCCATTAACCTGCCGTCCACGATTTTGCAATGTGGGAGGAAAGAGGAGCACCCGGAGAAAAGCCACGCAGGCAACATGCAAACACCACAAGAGAAGACCAGGACCCGGAATCGAACCCGCGACCTCCGCACTGTGCAAAACAGACGATCACCATTCCGCCCTAAAATAAAAATGTTGACAATCGACGAAATAAAGATCCAAGCGGGGAGGAAGAAGTGAGGACATCATGCGGAAAAGAGAGTTTGAAGAAGAGGATGGGTGGCGCGATCTCCTCGGCCAGATTGTTGCATTGTGACGTCGATTTGAGGGTAAAATAACTCCGTCACAAGATGATGTTTGCCCTTCTGATTGATTTGGGAAGACGCTTCGCCCCGACGCAAAACAAAGTGAAGAGCCTCCCCTTTGAGCAAATATCCAAATTCCCGGGGCATGTCACTCACTCTTTTCCACAAGGGAGCAGGTGGAATCCGCCGGACGGCAAGGTTCCTCCGGAGCTGAAGCACCCTCGCTCTGTATCCCCTCGCGCCTTCTGTTACCGCCCGATCCCCATCCAGACGAAGCCACACAAAGCGCCGACGCCGTCAAGTCGGCAAATATAGACCCGTGACCACCGCCCCGCGCGCGCGCGCGCCAACGGTCATCGGGTGGAATTAGAAGACTTGCGCCGGCTGCGGGGTGAAGCAGCGGGATGTGATGAATGACCCGAGCAGCTGACGGCAACAGCCGGAATGCTCTCGGGAGAACAACGGGCTGCGCGCGTCTTCTCGATAACTTGGCCTGAGAGAAACCGAGCTTGATGTCATGCGGTCGAGTGAGCGCCATTGGCAATTTGACCAAAGTCCTCACCAGGCCTCAGTTCAAGTGTCAGAGGATCAACCTGCTTTTATTTTTTGCCCACCCCACCCCAACACCTCAAAAGAAAGAAGATTCTCATTGTGTACCGCGTGTCAACCAAAGCGTGAACTTCAAACCAGGCTAGTCACTGAACCCTGATTTTGGGCGCACCCTTCAAAGCCCCAAAGGGCCCCGAATGTGTTGTTGGCGAGGAACATTCATTGTTGACTTGGTTCGGATCATATCGCATTTGGAACGGGGTTCTCAGCTTCCATTTGCACTTTCATCAGGTCGACTGGTCTTCAAAACTTGGAAGTGTCCGAGTGTTTGGACCTTGATTCTCTTCTTTTGTCCTCACAGAATCTTTTGGGTCCGTCACTCTTTTCCTCACAGTCAGCGGGCGATAGCCGCTTGTCTCGTCGCACGCCCCTCTGACCAACCTTTCAGTCCCAAGCGTCGCTATCGGGTCGCCTTCAAGCTTTTTGGAGCTTGCTGATGAGCTGATCATTTGAATCAGGGGTGCACGTAACATTCTTTTTCAAATGGGGGGTGGGGGGGGATCACTGTCGCAAAAATGTTTTGATGATAGTCGAGGTCAGTGCTACCTGTCAACAGCCTGTGTTTTGTTTTTTTTTTTACCCCCAAAATCTGCACTATTTGGTCCAATTCATCGGAACTGGCAAGGTTCATTCGGGCTTGAGTGGGTGCTTTCAGAGTCAGTCAAAATGGAGCGAAACAAATAAACCTCATTTCAATTTTGTGCAGTTCAAAGTGGTGTGAGCTGTATTTTTTTTTGTTTTATTTTTTTTAGAGGTTGGGTGGCGGGTTAAAAAAAAAAGACTTTCCTCTCTGCAAATGCTGCCCTCAAGGGCACATCATGATGTGGAAAATTGGAGCGTTATTTATAAGGCCCGGAGGGGGCACGGCACCTGCCTGTGGAATATATGTGGCACAATATGAGCTCGGCTTTGCACGCCGGCCCGTCTCATCGTGACAGCAGCAATGACAGTTGGACTAAGAATAACCAGGGAGACAAAGCAGCTGAGACGACTCCCCTTTTATTGGGGAGACTTCCTGCCCCGCCGGGGATCAGCGAGCGCTATCTTTCATGACTCAACGGGGCTTTCCATTCAACTTCAACAGAGTTGGTGGTGAGGGTGTGCATGCAAAAACCAACGTCAAACAAGCAACAAAAGCACATATTCATATTTGAGCAAAGGAAGTCGGACGCCGCCTTGGACCTTGTCATCATTTCTGTCAAGAATAGGAGACACAAAGTGACCATTAATGAGTCAAACTGAAAACAATGTCATCATTGTGATTTTTTTTTTTTGACGTGGCACTGCCAGATTTATCCCAAAAGAAATTTCTCAAATTTCAATTTTTCCCCCCAAAAAACATTTGTCTCGTTTCTGTTGCGTTTGCGACCAACGGGTGGCATTGGAGGGCTTCTCCTCCAGCGTTGCACCTGTTGGTCATCGTGTCATGAGTTCGTTTCAGTGAAAAGGACTGCCACGCCAAACACTCGGGGTCAGATCATTGTGCCTCCCTCATGGCTTTTTGTTTGGTCGTGACTTTGCGTTACGGGGGTTTTCACAACTTTCTTTGTGCTCTTCATTTTGTTTCTCCAGTGTGTCCCCTCTTCAGTGTTTTTGTTCATCTATTTTGTTCAGTACAGCCTGCTTCTTCACCCCCACCTTCACACCTCGTGACAAAATGAACCCAGCCCGACCTGTGTGCAGAGACCACACAGTATATCGAGTAGATGTCACTAGCTATACACAGAAAGATCCCAAGCGATGCCTTGATCGGAGTGGACAGATCGGGAACAACCTTTCCATCATTGCATTTTTTTTCACAGGTATTTATGTATAAAATGTTTGCTTAGGTGGTAATTTCGCAAAAAAAAAAAAAAAAATGGCTAGCCTGCGAGCTAACATCAGCAGCTGTGGATAGCGCGTGGTCCACACTAGGGTGGAAACGGGAGTTCAGAACATTTAGATTCTCACATCTCATTTGAAACACTTTTAAAGATGGATGTCACAATGTTGTGAAAAGGTGGTGGGAAGAGAAAAAAAAAGATCAGCTGAGGTACCAAATATGGAATGAGTTTGGCCGGGTGCGACGTGAACGGCATACTGTTGAAAACGACTCGATTTGAATCATTCATGCTTGTTCCCTAATGGCGCTTATGTATTATGAATAAAAGGCGCCGATCGGGTCTGTGGTCTCCGCAAACATTTATTCCCCCAGTCGGACGCTCTTGCGCTTACTCTGAAGTTCAAGTGGGAACGCTCCGTGATGTCGTCCTTTGGTCGGATCAAGATGGTGAGGAATATTTCTTGTCAAGCGGTCGTATATGCGACCCTCCCAAAGGGTGCGGGTCCGCTGGCAAAAATGCACAATTTCTCTCCTTTTAATCTTCGATCAAAAGCAAAAAAGCAAAGATCTCCCTTTAGATATTCAGACAAATATCAGAAAGCGGCTTCAGCGGCTCTGTACTATCCCATTGACCCGCTACCTGCAACACCTCCTCTTATCATACGGCGCAAACCTCCAACTGACCAGCACTAATTACACTTGCACTCATGGGAAATTAAAGGCAAACTATAGGTGTTTTTTTTTTTTATACATTTTTTTATTTTTTTTATTTTAAGTAACCCCAGAGAGGCAAATGAAAAACATAATAAATGTCCACGTTGCTGGGATGCACTTGGATCAGCGTGTAAATTTAATTTCCACAGAATCATAAAACCTCTTCAGGTTGGGAGGGGGGGAGAGAAAGCCAGAGATATACAGCTCATATTTCTCCTTTGATTTCGACTTGTTTTTCATCGATTTGGAATCTGTGATCTCATCTCGTGTAAACACCCGGACATTCCTTTTTCAAGACTTCCATCGGCATCTCTGGCCCGGATCAAACCAAGCGCCGAGCCGTTGATTTTGCACCTCGCGGTCACCTCGGCACTTGCGCCCCTTTGCGTGTTTCTGTTTCAGCCGTAGCATGTTTCATCACCGCCAACACCGTTTGGCGCCCACTCTTGGCCTCGAAAATGCATCGTGCTTCTCGGCATCGGTATGACGACCAACATAAAAGGACAAGCTCGGCTACAATTCTTGATGATGCGTTTTGCTTTCTTCACCAAGTACGATTCTACTATTGTGCTTTTCTGCGCTGTGGGTTTGGTCATGCGGCGTTCGCCGGTTGAGCCGTCCAATTGCCTCGGATTGCAACTTTTCCTGTTTGCTCCTCCGCGAGCCTCCTCCCGGTGTTATCTCGGACAGGCTCCCGCGATGACTTTACAGCTTGAATATGAACGATAGGGTGACCTATTTCTGTTATCGGTGCCGCTCGAACCTTGACCCTTTCTTTCTCAGTCTGTTGACTCACTTTATTTACGAAGGGCCGCAGGAACAGCAAACAGTGAAGCGAACGCGCCAGACCGCAGGGTAAACAGTAAACAGAACAGCCATTTTTCATATTTTTGCGTCACTCACACCGAAAAATCTAAAGAAAATCAGTCACGCTTGAGGACTTATTTGGTCATTCTTACTTATGCTTTTGAAATTGGATTCAGCAGTCTGTTTTGTACCCTTTCACCGTTAAACGACGACAAGCCCACAGGGGTGAAGTATTTCAAGTGTACACTTCCGATGCTGCAAATGAGTGTCTCATGGGGACATTTGTCAAGACGACACGTGCCAGTGGTTGAACCCATCTGCCCTCCGATCACAGAAAGCAGGAGACGGGGGATCCTGCTTTCGAGGCTCCTGATGGCACTTGCTGCACGAACCCACGAAGTCGCTTGCCAATCACTAGAACTTGGCTGGGCACATCCTGCAGACAAACCATCAACCGGTCGCCAGTCATTCACAGTCCACGTTTATTTGTGGGGTGAGTCCATCGCCACTGACAAATGGAATAAACAAAAATAGCTTCATCTCATGCGTGAAGGACATCTTGCAAACAGTAAGGTGTTACTCTTGTATTTGTAACACCCAATCTTCAAGAAATACTCCTCGAAATCCTCCGTCGTCATTGCACTGACCGTCCTCCGTTTCTGGAGGATTGGCCAAAGTCCAAGGGTGCTTTCTCTTCATGTAGTCCCGATCATTGTTGGGCGCGGTGTCAAGAGGCATCCAGTTTTGTTTGTACCCCGATGCCGGATCGGGGTCACCGGGCGGCTGATTATCGCGTCGGTAAATTCCAAGCGAAATTTGGTTGCAGTCCATATGCATGGGCGTCACGTCATCGCACCCGGAGTCCGACGATTCGGAGCAATCCAAGCGCCTCGGTCGAGCTAAAACCGATCCATCCCGGTCAGATCGGAGGCGGTCGCACATAAGAGGTATTCTCTCGCTGTCGTTCTCTGCCCTCAAAGCGAGGGAGGGCAACTTCAGTTGTCCGTTGGCATCCCGCACCGTGTGCAACTGCAGTCGTCCGCACGGATCCACGTCCAGACAGGCGGCGCTTCGTGGTGGAGGCGAGGCTTTTTCCCCGTCTTCCACAAGGACCCTCAGCAGCTCGTTCCATTCGGTCGGAGCAGCCGCCGCCAAGGCGCTGTAGACGACAGACGACTGGCTGTCGGATGCCCGGCCGTTGGGCCCCTCCGCCAGTGAGCCGGGGACCCGAGCCACATCCTGCGGGGAATAGCTTCCGGGAGGTCCAACGCAGGGCCCCTTTGGATCCGGCCTGACGGGAGCAAACTTGGAGACAAAGATTTGCTGAGTTTGAGCAGAGACCGTTGCTCTGCAAATAAGCAGATTCCGCTCCGGGGTTTGCTGCAGATCTGGCGCTCGACTGGCAGCACCGATTTCCTGTGGAGGACACATTGAGACAAATGAATTTCCCTTGTCCAATGGGCCTAATTTGCCATCTCGCGATTCATCAGGAAACATACGTGAACCGCCTCGTACCCCCGGTTCAGATGCACCCACCAGTGGAGCATCCCAACGTAACAAGTCTGTGGCCAAGCATATGCGCTGTGCATATTGTGTTTTTCAACAATCGAAATGACAGGATTTATCATTCTGCACGCAGCACTGAAAACAGACGCGCGCCCAGTCTCCGGCGGATATCCACTGATGTCATTTATACAGGAAAGGCAGGAAGGATTGAACCTGACGCGCGTCGCGGACACAGAGGTAGAGCGCGTTCGCTGTCTGCACTCGAAGCGCGCCCTCGCGCTGCGCGACCGGATGAAATGTTGCCGAGCTCACGCTGAAACACCTGGGGAGCATTCGCCAGCATCAACATCATGCTTTTGGGCTCTGTCGCTATGTGCCGCTTGTTGTGAAGTACGCTGCCAACAATTAGCGCTTAGCCAAGTTGGCAAAGTCGACGATTTGGACAATCATTCGTCATGGCCCCAAAACGACAACAGATTGAAAGATGATCGTCAACGGCTTCGGGGCACGACGCATCCTGAACTTCATTTGCTTTCAGAGAGGAAGTCGGAACGCGACCGTTTCTTGGTGTCATTTTTTTCTTCAGAATGTATCCACGTATTTGCAATTGACACGTTCATGTTTTTAAACCTAGAAGTGTTCATTCTGTTTTAGACGTCCTAGTTGGCGGCCATTTTATTGGAAATGGTGATAACGTGCAGATTCGTGATGGCCCTCGAGGTTCGACTGCATGTGAGAACAGCTCATGTTTTCCATTGTGTTCCACGTCCACCCAAATCCGGTGCTGTGCAAAAGTATTTGGCTCCCTCATGATTTCTGTTCACTCACTAAAAGTAAATATTGACACAGTCGTTCATTGTCCTCAACTTTCGGGCCGACACGCCAAATCCTGTACCACGATTTTCCGGTTCGGTCACATTTCGAGATGGTCATTTATCACCGCTGATTGGCAGACTCCGTGCCGTTGCACTGCTGTGCGGCAGCAAATGAAGCAAATCCACTTCATGATTGCGCTGCGTGTGTGTGTGGAAGTGCACAAACGCAATGGTGTGTGTGTGTGTGAGACTGTGTGTGTGTGTGTGCGTGTGTGCGTGTGTGCGCATGTTGATGGATATGTCATTTGTTTTCTTTTGTTTTGGTTGTTTAATAATGTCAAGTCAAGTCAAGTCAGCTTTATTGTCAAATATGCTCCATGTGCAACATGGCGCACAGATGAAATTTCTTTCCTCTCAACCGCAACGCAAACATGCAGTGCATTGAAACACACACAGCTAAAAATAAGGGCAGCCAAACTGAACTGCACGTGCAGCATTTGACAAGTGTGAGAAGTGCTGTCTGAAACGAGTCTTGATTGATTGATTGATAGATTGATCGAACAGCTTTTATTTGCTCAGAATAATGCCCGCGGGAAGAACTGAATGCTCTTCCGCTTGTTGGCAGAAGGTTCATCAGGAACCCGCGGCTCCGCCTTCTGTGACGCTCTCGTTGGCGGTGCGTAAAACACGTGCCCGGACCCAACGAAAGTCGCTCAAACGCTCGCGAAGACGACGGAGGAAAAAAGCGCGAAGACTCCGACTGCTCACCAGTGAGCGGGGCGGCTTCGTGTCCTGGCCGCCCTTCGCGTAGACGCACGCGGCTCCGACCGACACCGTGACAATGATGGCCAGCAAGGCGGTGGCGGCGAGGGGCCACGGCAACATCTCGGCAGCGTCACCTGCGGGAGAGAAACAACGACGCCCGTCAGGTCTTGCAGCTGGGTGTCGACGCATCACCGACATCCAAGTGTTTTCCACTTGTCAGCCGGTGCTTTGAGCCAAGTCAGCTTTTTCCAGGCGGATTGGGAATGAGCCCACTTGGGGAGGGCTGTCCTGTCCCCTTCAAATAAGCCACTGCTCACCCCGCATCTCCTCACAGGCCTATCGTAACCTTCATGACTGCCGGAGGCGGAGCTAGAGCTCTGAGACTGGGCGAGGGCTGACTTGATCTCAAACAACCCAGAGGTCATCCCCCCACCCCCCATTCCCCCATTTTCTCTGGCGTAGGCATGCTACCACACGTACCAAACACAAATACCCCCCCCCCCACCGCCCCCCACGCTTTACATTGAAAACTCAAAGTTGTATCATGCTTTTTGTTGGGGGGGAACGGTGGGTGCGTGATGCAGCAAGAATACCCGGAGAAAAGCCCATGTGAGCATGCGGAAAACATCCAAACTCCGGCCAAAAGGCTCCGAATGCACACCGGGCCCCGGGATCTTCGGTGGTCTGAAAAACCGCAAGAGTTGGGCGTCGGCGGTTTTTTGTTTGCACGATAACCACCCAAAGGAAGCGATCGATGCTCACCCGGTAGGGTTGCACAGAAGTAGGCCTTTTCACTCTCCGAACGACCCAACTGGTACAAAGGCTTGTAGACCACGTAGCCGCAGTACTTGCTTCCGTTGGATTTCAAGTTGAAGACAAACTGATCTGACACTCTGCGGTCGCACTGGAGACGCACGGAAAAAAGAAATGTTTTCAGTTTTCAAAAGACGTGTGTATTTGAGCGCCCCCGTTTAAAATCCACGGCAAACTGAGCTCCCCCCAAAACATTCGGATGTCATTTCAAAGTCATCTGATGGAAGGAAAAAAAAAAGTCTATCTTCTTTTCGTTCCCTTGAAAAGCGATGACTACTTTTCCCTGAAGGCAGAGAAAATCGGACTCCTCTCGTCCTCCTCGGCAGTCGTTGGCGCTATACTGCTGCAGTTTTGACACGTGTTTTGTCGTTGCGTTCAATGAAATGTTCTGACTGAAAAGTACTCACGGTATCGGTACTCGAGAGCGGTGAGATCCGACCACAAGCGCTATTGGACATTTTTTGTTAAAGTAGCGTCATGCGCCTCTACCCGATGTACTTGGAAGCCGTTTATGGTTCGGGACAAACGCGAGAACACGCTCGTCCACAATGGCGGCCACGCGCAGCCCAAGCAAAGCGACGAAGCCGACCCGACTCCGGCTCCTCCGTTCGGGTTTACCTGTGCGGCCCACTTGGGGAAGGTGAGGTTAAAGGTGTATTCAATCGAAGTATTGACGGGCCCGCTTTTACTGCTTCTGAAGATGTCCGCCACCGAGACGCCGTTGGGCCCCAGCGGAAGCGCGGCTCGAACAAACAAGGACGCCGCCGTGGCGGCAGTAAACAAAACCACTGGGCCCAAAGTAGCTGCGGGGCACACGGAACGTCGGTCATTTCAACGCGGCGCGCGTCCAACGCCCATCGACGAACGTCCCGTCCCGACTTACTGTTCTTGATGGGGTTGAACCTGGTGGTGTTCCCGTGCAACTTGCCGTCGGCGTACACTCGCGCCAGGTACAAAACATCCGGGAGCGACGGCGTCTCCGCAGTCAGGTCGCAGTGCAGCGCTGTGATGTTGTGACACTCGCTCTTGATCCGGTAAGGATCTCCCGAACCGTAGCTGCAATGATTCGGGCGGATGAACTGTAAGCGTGAGACGTTTCTCTCGCTTACAGTTGCACTTATCTGCATTGATCGTTCCCTTCAAAAGAAGACAAACAAACTACATTTCCTCGATCTGAGCGTTATTTTGCTGGCCGAAGAATGATTGGAGAATGGACTGTAGCTGTAGCTGCACTTTCTTTCACTGTATCTACGAGCCAAGGTCGGTCGCGATGGGCTTACGGGGTGGCCACGCCACTCGGAGTCGTCCGTTTTCATGGACCGACGCATAAGAGCAGTCTGCGTTTGCGCAATATTTGCACCCTGGGTTCCGTACCTTTTGTACTGGACGCTGTAGAGGACCTTATGGTCCGCCAACCAAGGCTTCGCCGCATGCCAGCGGAGCACATTGTAAAAGTTCTTGGACTGAAAGAACACGTTGCCGTCACCAGTGGGAAGACAAGCTGCCGGAGAGACAAAAACAGGGATGGGGGGGCAAAGTTGAGCTGAATCATTTTGTTTGGACGCTAATTCCTCGTCTTTGTTCGCCTGCTTCAAATAAACGTGTTTAATCAGTAACATGACAACTGGAAGTCTTCCCATAAGTGTGGGCAAAAATCGGGAGGCCTCGATTCTGGGGTGTGGTGGCCACGCATGCGCTACTAATGCAGTTCCATTCCGACTCATACCTCAAATCATCTTTCCCCAGTGAAAGTAGCCACTTCCAAGACGGACGGATCGATGGCAACTATGATGCGTCTTGCCCCAGTCTGAAAACGATTTGCTTGTTAGCGATAAAAAATTCTCGACTGAATCCGAAAGAATCATTTCCCTCTGTTGCCATTGAGCAAAGTTCAGCATTCGTTTGGGATTCAGTTCACAAAGCTTTGGGCTACAGAGAAGCTTTGGTGCCTCATAAAGTGGCACCGTCGAGAAATGACAGCGGAAATCTTGACTTTTGGACTTCAGCACATTTCAAAGGATGATCCGTCAGTGTTTCTCGAGTCCTTGAGTAAGCAAAACAAATACTTTGCTGAAAGCCAAAACGGTTTCATATATTTTCTGTTCACGTCTCCGCAAAACTGCTAAAGTCGCTCGACCCTTCTGACGCTCTCTTTTCTAATAAAGAAGTCGCATATTTTCCCATTCAAATGAGCCGGAGGCGGCGTATTGCCGTTGGACGTGATTGCCCTCGCAGTCAGTCGGAGTCAAGCCAGATGAAAGGCTGAAGTCGTCCATTTGGACAATTTGTATTTTTTTAGGAGTTCAGGAATATCACGTCAGGTGAAGAACTTGATCATACCCCCCCCCCCCCCCAGCCCTCCACCGCTGACTGCCTTATAGAACATCCAAGGGGTTTCAGATGAATTTTTTTTTTAATGTATTTATTCATTTATTTTAATGTATGATATAAATGACTTTATGTGTTATTTCATATTATTTAATTTAGTCTTTGCTTTTAATTCCAGGAATTTTTTTTTCCATTTCTTTGTGCGTGACGAAGAACAAAATAAGCAGTGACTTGTTGCCGATTTGAACGGAGATGGACAAGTGGGATTGACAGGCAACACAAGCGCGCACTCACCATAGCAGAAGAGAAGCAGAATAAAGACTTTGACAGACCACATCTTTTCCCTAAAGTTCTGCCAAGAAATGTCCTCCAAAGTGTTGCTCCGACACCAGGGTGAGAGTAAAAAGTGGCCTTGGCTGCCGGGGCGCTCTGCTCCAAGAAGCCGTGTCCCTCGGCTGTGCAGGTGCACCTTTGTCACCTTGCTTCCTGATACTCCGCTCACAGGTTGTCCCGCCCATTTTTTTTTTTTTTCAATTCACCTTTCCTACTTATGAGTCATTCTCCATCTGGGGCAACCCGACAAAAGCATGACCCCCCCCCCCCCCGACCCTCAAAAGTGAAAGTTAAAATGCAATTCCTTGAGACGCTACGCCACGAGCATGTTTTTCAGGTTCTCCCGCAGGGTTGGTATGGTATGTGCTCAATGTTATCGAATGGTTCCGCTTGCTGGCCAACGCCAGAAAAATGTTGAGGCAAACTGCTTCCAAAGTTTTGCCACTCTTATTTGAAAGTTGGGTTTCAACTCATCTCCACCGGGTTTCTCGAGCATTTGAAAGCGACCACCGCTGGCGACAAAGCGCTGGATGGACATGGAGCAAAAAAAAAAGAAAAAAAGAAAACGAAAACACACGACAAACAAGAAAACAATGAATGCACCAAAAATGTACTGTCCAATTTTTGGGCCTGAGATTTCCCGGTACAAAATTGCGAGACAACCAAATTGGAATTGTTTTTGTCCACGGATTGTCTATTGATCATCCAAACGAGAGAGGAGACCCAAGTGGACTTTCACATTTTTCAGAGGGAGGTTTCCTTGGGTAGTAACCAGTAGGTAAGCAAGCACCCAAAGACGGATGGTGTTAGTTCACAGATCGTTGCTCATGTCAACATGAAGTCAATGGATCCTTCCTCTTGAATGTACAGAGAAGGAACCGAGTTCTACTTCCACATTTTAGCCCCGAGCTTTCAGTTTTCGGTTGCCAAGGTCCACGACTCTTGGTCCTCAATTCGCTGTTTTCCGGCCAATGCGGCGAAATCATTTCATCGTTGCGGTCTTTGTTACCGACAATGAGCTTCTCGTCGTTCTTCGGGAAGTGACCGTTGTTTGTGCTGAGCCGATACCAGAGCTCCAAAGTAGGCGGCTGCAAAGAAGGGCAAACGCAGCAAAGACAAAAGGTGGCTGCGCTCCAAATGCATCGCACAATCAAACGGCCATCGCTCAGCGGGCCAAATAAACAGAGCGCAAAGACACGACGGCCTTTTGAAAAGATCCATCTTCTGGGCTCATTGGCAACTAATGGCAGACAAAGTTCGTTCAACACAACAGTCGAGGTCAGGAGGTGCAAAACGGATGGAATTCCTTCGATGGCACGCCCGCAATTGGGCACGTTATGATTTTTTTTTTTTTATGGGGGGGGGTGGGGGGCGCAGCGGTTATGTTACCAATGAGGAGTTCACAGGATAGCACCAAAGTATTTTTTTTTCTTTTTTGCTTTGGCCTTAGCAGAAAACATCAATGAGACAATAAAGACTTTTGGCTTATAACCCGGGATAAATTCGCCCCAAAAGAATCTCAATCAATTTGCAGATTTGTGCATGGCAAAGTACGAATACATAAGGTTGCACCATGTATGGCAATCGAACCGGTTCTGTGCCGGGAAAACTGTATGCTGCGTCATTGCATAGAAAGAACTCGCAGGGTCCGCAGATAATTTCTCGAGACTGTGCATGCATGTCAAGTCATCACCGCTTGGGCTCAAGAACTTGCACGTCCTGGCGGGCCGAGCGTCACGTCCGCCATGATGGTGTTGTCACGAGGCCGTTCGGCGGCCGGCCGACTGATTCTGCGCGCGTCCGCTCCCGCGGGTTTGTCTCAAACTCGGCAAGCCGCTTTGGACGACACGGCTGACTTAAATCGCATAACGGCGCCCGCCCTTCAAGAGCAGTCGACTCTGAAATGAAATCAAGCCAAAAGGTACACAACGGAACAAAAGACTTGTCCGCAGTGCCCGCGTCCTGCTTCACATTGTGCTCTTTTCAACCCAATTCATCACACGAGTAAATAAGCTGTCTTTAAAATGTTCAGTCACCATGGGGGTCTTTGACTCCTTCTGTTGGGAAGGGGGCGGGGGGGAGTGTTCCGAGTGGGCTCGGACCTCATCTGTCACGACACGCTCAAGGTTATCCGAGCGCACTCGCAAAGCAATTCGCAGCCGCCTCCTCGCAACGTTTGCATCCATCTTTGTGTGGCAGAAAGGAGAGCGATCCTTGAGGACTTCCTGAGAGAACCTCCGATAGCGTCTCCTTGATACTGATCGATTACTTCAATGATATTTTGTCTCGGGACTTTTTATATACATATATATATTTTTTTCTCTCTATGTTTGTCCAGCTAATCTATCTATCCATCGATTAGGCGTGGGCATCTCTTAAATTAGAGACATATGTTGATACACGGCAGCCCGGTGGTCCAGTGGTTAGCGCGTCGACCGCACAGTGCAGAGGTACCGGGATCAATTCCAGCTCCGGCCTACCTGTGTGGAGCTTGCATGTTCTCCCCGGGCCTGCGTGGCTTTTCTCCGGGTACTCTCCGCTTTCCTCCCACATTCCAAAAACATGCATGGCAGGCTGATCGAACACTCCAAATTGTCCCGCGGTGTGAGTGTGAGTGTGAGCGTGGATGGTTGTTCGTCTCTGTGTGCCCTGTGATTGGCTGGCAACCGGTTCAGGGTGTCCTTGTGAGGATAAAGCGGATTGGAAAAATGAATGAATGAAAAAGGATGTCGATACACGGGATGCGACACGATTCAAGGGTGGTTCAAATTTTTTTAGCGTGAAATAATTCGATTTGATTCGATAACGTGCGGCTCAGTTGGGGAGGATACGATGCAAAGACTTTTTTGTCGTTGTACACACGTAAGCTTGAACACGTCAGCACTGTCAGTGCGGCGTTTCCTCCGAAGACTTGTCTCGCCAATGAACGCCGATTAATTTCGCATCTCCAACCATTTTTATGTCGCTAATTGATTGGATGCGCTCTCTTCTTTGAAGTCAAAAACAGATGATCTCATTCGAATCGTTTTTGTGACACTGCTACCTGTCCATCTGTCCATCTTGAAAGTTTTGCAAAAGTGAGTCAAATCGTTGGTTCTCTGGAGTGCATGCCCAAGCATCAAGTGTCAAACGATGTGGAGCAGATTTTTGATGTCCATCATAAATCTGTGAAAGATTTTGAATTGTGACAAAAGGTCCTCACTTTCGATCAAAATGGACCCTTTCTGTGCCATGTGAAGCCACACGCACGGACGTGTTCAAAGGCTTTGAAATCAGCCGTCCGCCTTGCCCTTGTCACCACCGCAGACTGTTGAGCCCAAGGGGGGAGGCAACGCCGGTCCTTGAGGGGGAGGCCGCAGTTCTGCATGTTATCCATCTCTGCCTGCTGCAACACACACACACACACACACACACACACACACACACACACACACACACACACACACACACCTGATCCAAAAAATCAGCTCACCAGCAAGCTGTGTTAAAGCCAAAAAAACGATTGTGTTCATTTGAATCAGGTGTGCTGGAAGAGAGAACTTGGAAAAGAAGCAGGACTCTCGGGGCTCTTGAGGACCCGAGTTGCCTCCCCCTGGTTTAGCCCATGGGTGTGCTTGCCTGCCTGTTTGATCCAAGTGTCTACTGGCAAATTAAAAACGCAACGAGAATGTCACGACATCCAGTGTGAGTTTACCGAAATCCATTTGCAAAAAAGGTCACGTTAACACCCCCAACCACTGCTTCCTATCTGCCATGACTGTCAGTATTCCATGCAGAGCGGTGAGCAGCAATCCAACTGTCACATCTTATCTCCAGTGCGCTCTCTTTTCCGGGGAAAGGAAAAAAAAAAGACTCCACGGGTTCTTGGCCATTAAAAAATAATCACGACAACAACAAGCGGGTCTGGCGCTGTTGCGCCGCGTATTCCAAGCATTTGGGGAGTCGTTTGGTCACGACATTGTTTTGGGGGGTTTCGCTTTTCGAGGGTTTGAGAGCATTTGTGGATTTTGGAAGACAGATTGCACGACACGCTTTTCTTTGTCACGATTGGAAATCGTTCCCAGATGACTTAATAGCATGTGTGGGACTTCCTTTGGACATCATACACTAAGGATGAAAAGTTCGAGTACTGCTCTATGCGTATCGTCACGCTATATGTCGCTGGTATCGATAGATGAACAATGACACGTCGCTTGTGGAAGCGGCACTTCATACAACACACTCGATGCACATTATGTGGACGCCATAAAAACAAATATCCTCGAGCGCGTCACCAATTACAATGCCACTTATCAGAAGCTAAAGCTGTTAGCCGATGCATCCAACCAAACTTTGTGCAGCTCTGCTTATCTTTTGGCTTTGACAGGAGCGTGGGATATCACACCTGTGTGTGTGTGTGTGTGTTCGTTCCATATGGAATCCAGGTGTTCACTGCCGTCGACTTTGTATTTTGACCTGTTTTTCTCCCAGAGGTTTGCATAGAAGAGGCTCTCGACTTGCGTCTCTTTGAAATTCCGGTTTGCAAACAATGCTAATGACCAAAAGATCCCTGTAGATGCTGACGTTGCCTCACTTTGGATTTGAGATCAGCACAGCTTTTGAGTAGAAGATGCAGATAAGGGGGTGAATGTCAGCTGTCACTTTGATTCCGAGGAGTGCAAATACCAACACAAATTGGACCATTTTAGACGCTTTCCACTTGAAAAGTATATATGGGGTGTATTTGGCATCAACAGAGTTTTTGTCACGTAGGTAAAGGAAAGTGTCGATCGCGATTGTGTGAAAAAAGGAGTGAGTTAGTGGAGTCAATGAAATAAGTGTGTCGATTATTATTTTGACATCTGTCTTGTGTTGCTGTTTTGTAGTTTAAGGCATCACAAAAGCAAACAATATTAGTGTCAAAGGTGACGTTCTCCTTGACGTGTTTTGAAACAAACTCCTTTGACAGGTCTCGTACTTATCCTGTCACGACCTTTTTGGGGAACGCTTTCACATTGCCTGCATAAGAATTGCTGCCCCCTGCTGGTGCAGCCACAACATCGACCAATAAGCCGCTTGGGAGAGCTGAAGCTTATGTTTATTTTGGATCAAAATGTATTTGTTTTGGTCCTGGTGGCGTTTTCCGGCTGTAACTTTGCTCTCTCTCTCTGTCTCTCTCCGGTTGCTCTGTGATGAGCTGGAGCGTGAAGCCGATCCGGATTGGTTTCCCCGCCGTCTCCGCTCGTCGTGTTGTTTCCCTGACGAGACACCAACAAACAGCCGGAACGCGTTACTGTCTGTGCTTTTTCACGCTGGCGCTCGTTTTGCAAACGCTGGCGAGCCAGAAGAATTTGATGAGCTTTGCCGTTGACATGAAAAAGACATTCGGGAGTTGGAAGAAGACAGCCAGGAAGTGGCGTGACGTGAGCACAAACGCTTGATCCTTGTTGTCAAAGTTGGGAAAATGCTTTTGAGGAGTCTTTAATGGGTTCGAAGGAGAAGATGGGCAGGGAGCCGCAAAAAAGACTTTGGAATTGCACGCAAAGCACTTGTTATGGAAGTTCAGAGACACACACTAAGTTGCTTTCAATGAGTGACTCCCATTCAAAACATTTGTGATTCCAATGTTGAAAAGTTACTTTTTAAACAACAACAACAAAAGTCCGCCCCCTCCCAAAAAAAAAAATTAAAGTTGAATTTAATTCCATCAAGAGGATGCCCAAAATCAAATGTGGATCAGATGCAGCGCGTTCCAACCGCGCAGATGGCTGCCATGAAATAGCATCTGCGTACTTGAGTGGTTCATTGTTGTTTTTTCCCCATTGAATTCCTCATCTTTTGTTGTGCAGAGTGTAATTCACGGAAGAAAATAAAAGCAAACGACAAACCTCGACAGGGGAGACTCACAGAGACTCTTGAATATGTCGGAAAACAGGACACGCTGGGGGAGGTTTACGCGAGATCACCTCCCGGTTAGTCGCTAGATAAATGCTGTCGTTGGCCGTTGATCCGTATCAAAGCCCCGCATTTATTCAAGCTCAGACACTGCCGGAAAATTGACTCGCCGCGGAAAAAAAATACATGGATCTCTCTCTTTCGAGCTCCACTTCAGTTTTTCCCTTTTCACACACCGACCTCTCATGAGAACAGCCTCGTGGTGGTTGCCGTGGCAACCATAACCTCTCTGTGCCCTGCTCGACTGCGATTCGCTGTGTGACTTGGGTGGGATGGAATTCATTCACGTCTTTGCGAGTCGGGCGACTTCAGCATGCCAGTAGGATGACTACATAGCCGGTGAACAAAATTCGGTGAGGAGCGCTGCCCCTTCCGGAAAAGTAAACAGTGGGGGTGGGGCCTTGGAGAACAACTGTTAGCGGCCGCGATGGCCCGGAAATACACCGTCCGTTTGGGGAAATGAAGATTTTCCGCCCATGCAGACGAAACTGCTCATTCCAACGTTGTGCTACTCGTGTTCACAAATGTCGGAGAGTGGCGGCAAAAACACGACGAGTCATGCGCTTGAATACAAAAAGGCGAGCAGTGCTCACGTTGGATAAGCAAGGATTCCCACGGTGAAGGGAAAACAAAGCTCAAAAGTCCACATGGCACAAAGACGGCTCATAATGTCGCGCTTACGTAAAGGATGAGAGAGAGCGAGAGAGCACAGGATGGGGGGGCGCTATGTACACAAATTCTTATATGTTGGATTCATGCATAATTCATGCATGTAGATCACATCAATTATGAAAAAAAAAAACCATCTATTGCGGTGCTACTGAATAATTCCCGGATGCATTAAGAAGAACGTGCCGCGCGCATCCGTTTGAGTTCAATCCTTGAAAGAACCCTGGGGAATGAGCGACATGCTGCTTCACCAAGATAAAAGCATTATTAGGTGACGCAAAGCGGCGCGCTCTGATTCATTTACATCCGTAACAGAAGATTTGATGGCGGCGGAGGCAACACGCTACCGCAGGCGTCGACCACTCCGAGGCGCCGCTATGAAGATTTCTGGCCTTGTCAAAGGTGACACCGTTTACAAATGATCTCCGATTCATTACAACTGATCGTGACGGCTTAAACCGTCGCTGAAATAAGTTCTATTTGTCAAATATCTTCAAAATGACGTCTCAAATTTGTTTGCGTAAAGACAGTTTCAAAAACAGACTTTGATATCATTGAATAACCAATCTGCCCCAGCCGCGCCCGATGCCGGTTCGGCTTTGCTTCTCGGACCGCTTCGAAAACATCCAACGGTTTTTCAACGAGCCCGCTGACGAGCCCCAGCTCCCCGACTTTGCACGCTTTTCATTCATCAGGAGCCAATCTGCAATCTGAAAAGTCCCGAGCGACAGATGGAGGCTTGCACATCGTCATTGAAAAGAGGCTATTATTGATGAAAATGACTTGACGCCCAATTAGCACCAAGCGGGCTTGGCCGTCAAAGGGAGGACATTGTCCCATTCCCACAACCCGACGGCGCGCCGTTGGCCGCCCAGACGGGCTCACGCAATTTCCATTTCTTCACGTGACGTGAGCGAAAGGATCCGAGGGCAACGCAACACTGGCAAATCAATCGCCAATGTGACACGTATTTGACGGCACAACAATGCAGAGATGTCTCTCCATTTAATCAGGAGTGACATTGACTCAAAACATTATTTTGGTCAGGCTGAAGGCATATCCTGTTTTTTGTTTTTTTTTGTTGTTGCTTTTTTTAAACACCACATTAAAGACACAAAGTGCACTTGCCGTTTTGTCACATGAGCCTTTTAAACCACGCCTGCAAATTTTGTGGCATGAAGTTAGACATTCACCGATGGCTTTTTGTTTGGGAGCCTCTCTGGTTTTTTTTTCCCTCACCACGATCGTGCACAGGAGATCTGCCTAATGTGCCGAGCGAACACAAAATTAGGTCTTTTGGTGAATCTGAACCGAGCGTGAGTCGGAATGTTATTTTCAGCCGGGCCTCACTTCCACCTGGCCCTCCAACTGTGAGAGTCGAGGCCCAAAAGAGCTTAAGTTGTTCTGACAAGAGCCTCTTCAAGCGTCGTCACACGACACGAATCCGCACACCATCGTGCTCATCAAAGCGGATCGAAGTGTCTCCTATCGCTTTGAAATACAAAAATAAGATGTGATTGATTGAGAACAATATTCATCGGAACGAGATGTCTTTCTCAATCGCAACCCGCCCCCCTCCGCAACGCCACATACTGTGATTTTCTAACTTTTGGAATCCTATTTGTCGACTTGCATTTCGAAACGCCACCCATTCCATGTGCTGTGAAAGCGACCGCACGAGATGCGACGCGACAAAATAAGTGTCGCTTGTCAAACTCGATGAGTTGCGAGGGGCTCAAAAACTTTTCATGTCGGCTGATGACAAATGCGTTTGCGGGAGCACAGAAAGAGGCGTTCCCGTCGCGTTGTTTGTTTGCCATCCGTCGTCGTCCCAGAATACATCTGAGAGCTTTTTGAAAAGCGCTTCTTTGATTGGCGAAAAGGCGCGCGCCGGGAGTCGCGTTGAAGGAAAAGTGGAGCTGTCGCTCGCTTCGCCGCCGCCTCGCGTCTTGGCTCGTCGCGATTGATGCCTCCCTTTTGCTCTCATTGCTCTTGTCACATCGTCCAAACTCAACGACGACGACGACGACATATGGGATACGCGTTGCAAGTCTGAAGTCGTCGGCAAATGCACAACAATGATCAGAACACAATCTGCGCATCACAGCCTTGTACCGCCAAAGCCTCAGATGCGCTTAAAATATACAATAACCCGTCCGCTTCAAACGTGTGCAAAATCATGTTGTGATGCCGCCGTAAACGTGTCCCTTGTATACGTTATTTGCAGAGCATTCGTTCAGTGAAATGAATTTGAAATAGATCGTTCAAACTTGATTTCATTAGCGTTACGGCTACGCCACTTCCTTCGGGAGGGAAACTTGACGGTGGGGGGCAGGGGGAAAAATGACGAGCGAAAAGTCATCATGCACAGGAAATATCATTCATCACCGTTCATTAAATGTTCGTGATCTAACGGAAACGTTTTGATAGTAGGGGGTGAAAGACTTTTCAAAGAAAAGTCATCGTCTAACTAGGAAGAAGTATTTGAGAAAATTGCTTTCACATTGCAACCTCAAAGCTCACCACTGATGGCATCGGGACCATAAAAAATTTAAATCGAACATCAAGTCCTCCTTGGTAGTAGTTGTCGCCATACGTTGGCAGTTTGAGACACAACTGTGAACCATTATCCCCCCCCCCCCCAAAAAAAGGTCTTTGTTCACGATTTTTTGTCAGTCAAATTGTATGTATCAAGAGGTATCGGTGACTACTCAAATACTTGGACTGGCTTCGGTCTGAACAAAAAAGCAGCACTCAACATCAGACGTTGTTCTTCTTTTTGCTCATTTCGGTGTGGCTCGAAAGTTCCAACGTAGAGTTGATGGGAATCCTTGACTTCACGTGCATTCATTTCATCTCACGTCATCGGACTTCAAAATAAAAGCCGGCTGCGGAAGTTCTGCGCTGCTGCGATTCTTTCAGTTTAAAAAGTCAGTCAACACAAAACACTTCTTCTTTTAAAGGTACAAAGTTGCACAGCTTTTTATTGATTTTTTTTTTTTTTTTTTTTTTTTGGAATCAGTATTTCAAAAATACTCAACAACCAAAGTTAAAACAAACAAGTCGTAAGAAGAAAAATCCAAGTTTCTGCAAAAAGTAGACTTAACATCTGAATACGTTTGTGGTTGTTTGTTTGTTTTTTAAAGTTAGTTTGACTCCTTTTTCTTATCGGAAACACCTGAGGGAAGCAAATCAACAGAGAAAAGATCACAAAAGAAAAAAGGGAAGATTTTTTTTTTTTTATGTACAGCGTTAATAAAACCGACAAAAATCAGTGTTGGTCGCAAAAAAAAACGGAAAATGAACAGAAACAAGAAAACTGATTTGGTTTTGGGATGCATCACCAGAATGGCTGTGCCCCCCCCCCCATCCCCACCCCCCACACCACCCTACAATGGTCCCAGGATGCATAAGACACTTTTTTCATAAAGTTTCAGCTAGAAACATGACATCAAACAGCCTATTTTGGAGCTCTCAACACTTGTCATTACATTTCAATGCTTAATTTTGTCTGCAGAAACGGGTCCAAGAAATCCTTTGGTCAGCCATGTGAAATAATACCTTTTAAAAGAAGAAAAACATCTAAACCATCTTGACAAAGTGGTTTTCCCTCGACAGTAAGGAGCTCCTTTTCCTCACGGAGGAAAAAAAAGTGTCCGCAAAAGTTTGGTCTTGATTGTCCATTCGGGAAAAAAAAAAAAATCAATGCAAAAGACAGAATATACAATCCGAGCGTGAAAAAACCCCACCGCGGCCTTTTCCGGAAAGGAACTCGAACGCCTCCCTCGGGGCCTCGCGGTCAGACGGACGGCAACGGCGGCGGTCATGCGGAGAGCTTGCTCTTGTCCTGCGCGCCGGCCGAGGGGTCCTGCAGGCAGCTCCTTCGCACCACGGGCAGCGGGTGGGCCTCCGTGTTGAACACCCAGTCCTCGGGGGGGAGGAGGTCGTCGTCCGAGAACAGCAGGTACAGATACCTGAAAGCAAAAGCTTTCTGGATGACCAGATCTTATTTCAATTCATATGGTGGCACCTCGAGTGAGGCATTTCGTTTGTCCCGTGACTGCTCCAATCGCTGCTCTCTCAAATCAACTTTGAAATGAATGGGACCGCCTCGACAACGAAAAATAGCCCTCGACCGTCCTGCCCCGTACGTGGTGAACAATAAAAAGCTTATGGATGACATCAAGTGGTGAAAATGAAGAACAAAGGACATTTTCACTGTTATGGGTTACGCCCCCCCCCGCAAACTGGAATATGCCGACCTTTTTTCAACTTACTTGAGCGTCTCCGAGAGGAAGAAGCTCTGCTGCATGTTGTCGTGGCTGTCGGTCAAGGTGTAAACATCGCGGATCCCCGAGAAGCCCGACTCCACCCGGCAGTGCCGCTCCAGCGCCTGAAAATGCCACAAGCACCGACATCTCCATTTTTGGGGATGTTGTGACTTTTGTCTTGAAAACACATGAGGTGACAGTACATTTCTTGTCGTAGTACTTATTTTCTTTTGTAGATCAATTCCAACTTAAAACGTTTCCCTTATTCGGAGTACCATGAGACAGAATTGCAAGTTGACGTGATTTCTCAAAATACATATTACAGGGTGGCACTTTGCCACACGGCGGGCGCAGAGGTGCCGGGTTCGCGTCCGGGCTCCGGTTTGTTTATTATTGGGGGGAAAAAAGACAACTTTTATTTTTCTCAGGGTCGGGAGGCCATCTCGATTGTCAACATGAACCATTTTGTTTCCAGGCGTGTGTTGTGTGTTGTTGTGTGTTTTTACCTCCACGGCCTCCCATCCCCACTCCCTGTACTTGGGGTCATGGGTGAGCCTCCACATGTACATGTAGCTCTCGATGACCTCGGGTCTGAGGATGTAGTATCTGTCGCTCAGCCGGGTCGCCGTGGCTTCGGCGCCGCTGTCGAAGCGGAAGGCTTCGGGTCCCAGTTTGGTGGCTGGGGAAACAACAACAACAAAAAATGGCATTTGCGCAATTCATTCGGCCATTTCAATGAGCGGCGCTTTGCTTTCACACAGAAAATAGCATTTCATTTAACGCTAACCATAAACCCCGTCAAATTTTGCTGACTTGAAATACAGCCAAACACTCAAAAATTGTCCTTAAGTGTGAGCGTGAGCACGGATGGCTGTTCGTCTGCTGGTGGCTGGGGAAACAACAACAACAAAAAATGGCATTTGCGCAATTCATTCGGCCATTTCAATGAGCGGCGCTTTGCTTTCACACAGAAAATAGCATTTCATTTAACGCTAACCATAAACCCCGTCAAATTTTGCTGACTTGAAATACAGCCAAACACTCAAAAATTGTCCTTAAGTGTGAGCGTGAGCACGGATGGCTGTTCGTCTGCGTGCGTTGCGAGGAGCTTGCAACCAGTTCAGGGTGTCCCCTGCCTACTGCCCCAAGACAGCCGGGAAAGGCAAAAGTCCAATGAGGCGAGCAGTGAGACCGCACTTTGCGGCCGGTCTTGTAATTCACCGCAGAGATCGCCGCAATTCAGGAAAACCGAGTTGCCGGTCCTCGCATGTTTTCGGTTTCGATTTTTGCGTCGAAGACAAGACCGAATTTCCCAGGCGGACGTGAACGGCGGCACGGCGCGGGTTGCCTCAGCTCAGTCTTACCCGAGCGATCGTAGCTCTCGTGGCAGGTGCGGGTGACCTCGGCGGCCAGGTCGAGGTAGTGCCGCCGCTTGTCGGGCGCGCCCTCGTCGGCGCCGATGCCGATCATGCCCCCGGAGAAGCAGGCCAGGTGGCCCATCTTGTGGTCCAGGATGCCCCCCCGCCACTCGGCCATGTAAGTC